AGAGATTTGCGACGACGTGGATGGAACTAGAGGGTATCATGCTGAGCAAAATAAGTCAATCGGAGAAAGACAACTATCATATGATCTCCCTGATATGAAGAAGTGGAGATGCAACATGGGGGGTTTGGGGGGTGGGAAAAGGATAAATGAAACAAGATGGGATCGGGAGGGAGACAAACCATAAGAGACTCTTAATCTCACAAAACAAACTGAGCTTTGTTGGGGGGGGTGGAGAGGGGGAGGGAGAGGGTGGTAGGGTTAGGGACATTTGGGAGGGTATGTGCTATGGTGAGTGCTGTGAAGTGTGTAAACCTGGAGATTCACAGACCTATACCCCTGGGGCAAATAATACACTATAGGTTTAAAAAAATTTTTTTTAATTAAAAAAAAAAAAGTTCAGGGAGACAACCTACAGAATGGGAGAAAATACTTACAAATCACGCATCTGATAAAGGTTTACCTCTGGGATACATTAAAAACTCCTATAACCCAACAACAAAAAGGCAACCCAACCCAGGGGTGCCTGGGTGGCTCAGTGGGTTAAGCCTCTGCCTTCGGCTCAGGTCATGATCTCAGGGTCCTGGGATTGAGCCCCGCATCAGGCTCACTGCTCAGCGGGGGACCTGCTTCCCCCTCTCTCTCTGCCTGCCTCTCTGCCTACTGTGATCTCTCTCTCTCAACTAAATAAATAAAATCTTTAAAAAGAAAGGACAACCCAATTAACAAACAGGCAAAACACTTGAAAAGACATGGCTCCAAATAAGATATGCAAGTGGCCAATAAGCACATGAGAGGATGCTAAACATCACTGGTCATTCTAGAAGTGCAGATGAAACCTTTCAAAAACTGTTTACTTACCACACGACCCAATAATTTCATTCTGAAGCATTTCCCCTAGAGGAATAAAGTGTGTGTCCTCCTAGAGGTTAATACACAAAGATTCATCACTTTAGTCATAATTAACCCAAACCTGAAAACCACCCAAATGCCCATCAAAAGGTAAATGGACCCATGCAACAGGCCCTGAGCAGCCATACACGGTCCTGCACAGGGACCTCAGGAACCTGCTGAGTGAAGACACCCGGACACGTGGAGGAAAGCCTGTGCGGGTCCACCACGTGAAGTTCTAGAAAGGGGAAATGTCTTCCACAGCTGTGGCACTCAACCAGTATGGCGGTGTCTGGAAGTGCTGCTGCTGTCACAACTGGAGGGTCATGACATCTGGTAGGCGGAGCCAGCAGTGTTGGTGAAAAAGCACATGACAGGCTCCTGCGCGATCACGACAAAGAGCCATCTGGCCCCAAAGGGTGACAGTGAGGAAGCGGGCTCTCTAGTGACAGGAGGAGGCGCGGTGGCAGCCGTGGGCTTTAGAGGGAGTGGGGAACTACCTTGAGCAAGCACAAGGGAGTGTCCGGGGTTGATGAAAATGCTCATGACTGAACTGAGCTAGTGGTCTCTGGAATGTGGACAACAGTGGCCAAGGTCACGCTGCCCACTTAGAATGGTCATGCTGTATTGTATGGGAGTCTGACCTCTATACAGTTAGTTTTCAGAATGAAACCGTCATGGCGCTAGAAACAAGCGTGGGGGACATTTCCAGTAGATCAAACAAGGGGGGGGTCTTTTCAGAAGACAGAGAAGACCCACACACTTGACTTCGTCAAAACAAAAGGCTGTATTTCACACGGTAAGAGGAAAACACGATAAAGTCGGAAGACAATGGGAAATACTAGTAACTCGTATCACGAAGAGCCGATTCCTCACTACAAACAGTTCAGAACAGGACCTCTCACACAGAGACACAGATGTTTCTGTGACAGGAAAAACCAATGGCTTCGGGCGTATGTATCAAGATGCCAGCCTCACTCGTAAGGACACACTCAAAGTAAAATGACGGACCTGCAGAAGCGGTCTCTCCTGCCACCCCGAGCTGTCCGAACACTGCGAGGGGGCGACTGTGGGGGACAGGAGCACCCCCGTGTTGCTGGTGGGAGTGCAGACGTACTGGTACCAACGGGACAGAAGGCAGCATGAGCGACAACATCCACTAACTGAATCCTTTACTAAATACCCTGTAACGCGCAATTTCTACCTTAGGAATTTATTACACATTCTGTAAACATACAAAGACACTCACGGCAACGCTGCGCACAAGGCCAAGACTAGCAACGACCTGAATGTCCACTGTGGGGTTATAAAATCGATGACGAGACAGCAGTAAACTATACCTATACCACGACCCACTTAAAAAGCGTGTGTGCATAGTGATCCGAAGGGGCACGTGCACCCGAATGTTCATAGCAGCAATGTCCACAATAGCCAAACTATGGAAAGAACCTAGATGTCCATCGACAGATGAATGGATAAAGAAGATGTGGTATATATATATGTATAATGGAACACTACTCAGCATTCAAAAGAAATGAGATCTTGCCATTTGCGACAACGTGGATGGAACTAGAGGGTATCATGCTTAGCGAAATAAGTCAATCGGAGAAAGACAACTATCATATGATCTCCCTGATATGAGGAAGTGGAGATGCAACATGGGGGGTTAATGGGGTAGGAGAAGAATAAATGAAACAAGATGGGATCGGGAGGGAGACAAACCATAAGTGACTCTTAATCTCACAAAACAAACTGAGGGTTGCTGGGGGGAGGGGCGTTGGGAGAAGGGGGGTGGGGTTATGGACATTGGGGAGGGTATGTGCTATGGTGAGTGCTGTGAAGTGTGTAAACCTGGCGATTCACAGACCTGTACCCCTGGGGATAAAAATATATGTTTATAAAAAAATTTAAATTTAAATTTAAAATTAAAAAAAAAAAAAAAAAGCGTGTGTGGAGATCAGGAACACGATCCACGCCCAACAGCAAGAGGAAACAATGAGGGACAAAGCAGTGTCTGCGCTGAGCAAACACCCCGGAAAACCGACGGAGCCCGCGTCCGTGTGTCGGAGAGACCATCTCTGGAAAGCTGGGTGAGCTTCTGGGGCCGCCATATCCAGGCCCCACTTGCTGGGGCTTACAGTAACAGAAATGTGTTCTCTCCGGGTTCTAGAAGCCAGGGGCTGAAATCCAGGTGTCGGCAGGGACATGCTCCCTCCAGAGGCACCCCTTTCCAGCTCCAGGGGGGCCGCTGGCACCCCTGGGCTCACGCCACGTCTGTCCAGTCTCCATCTCTGTCTTCACACGGCTTCTACCCGCTGTCTCCTCTGTACCTCTCTTCTAAGGACATGCACTCCTGTCTGTAGGACCACCCTAAATCCGGGATGATTCCCATCTCAAGATCCTTAACCTAACCCCACCTTCAAAGTGGTTTCAGAAGACCCCACACCTTATTTCACAAGTCAGGTCACATACACGGGCAATTCAGGTCAGGACGTGGACATAGCTTCTGAGAGGCCACCATGTGGCCCACAGCACTGGTGGCCCTGAGAAATGTCTTCTCTGGGATTTCTCGAATCTGGCCTGGGTGGCATCCGTTCTCCCACTGGCACACGGCCGAGAGTCGGCACCAGTGTCACCCCGGGCCTCAGCTGCAGAGCGCTGACCCTGAACCTGCGCAGCAGCCAGGACACCCTCTCAAGAAGTCAGTCAAGGCACAGCACAGTCTTGCTCAAAACCCTCGGAGAGCCACCCTCTCAGTCAGTGCGAAGCACAATCCACCCTGTGTCCCCAGACCTTTCCCACGAGGCACTGCTGGAAAGTCAGGCGGAGTGTGGACCGTGAAGCTGGACAAACCTGCGACCGCTCGCGGGCATCGCGGAGAGCGGGGCCGCCGCGTGGCACTCACCCCCGGCCGCAGCTGGGCAGCACATTCCCAGGACGCCCCACCTAGACCTCTTCAGCTCACAGCTCAGCAAGAACCAGGGCACAAGGGAGACACGGGCGACAGCGCGAGGCAGGTCACGACGGCTCACTGTGACACACACACAGCGCTGGTCCCCCAGCGGGCCCACAAGGCCCAACGGAGTGCTGGCTGGGCCCCCAGTTTACAGGAGCTCCCCAGACTGGAGGCTTCCCAGTGCTCCCACATGAGCTCCCAGTCACCACCCCGTGGACCCCCGGCACACATGCTCTTCGGGTCTTCTCACGCGCTTCCAACCGCCCAGCTGGAACCCGCTGGCCGAGGCGGACCGCTTTGCTCACGCTTCCACTCGCCCCTGCGGACCCCCGTGGCAGCACCCCGACGCCCACGCGAGCCGGCAGGGATCTCCTCCTGTGGGCTTCATGGTTGCTGCTGTTTTAAGGCAAGCCCGGCCCTGACCTGACGGGAGTTCACTCTCACCAACAGGCCCGCACTCCTCTTGGTCAGGTCTCTAAATTCTGAGGCTTTAGAATGAAATACACTGTAATGTCCTGGGACTAAAAACTGCCAGAAACAGAAACTTAGTCTAAAGCTTTTATTGCTTTAACATAAATGTACTAGTTACCAGGTAATCAGATTTCCAGAATTTAGACTCAGAATTATAACATAGGTAAAAATCTGAAATACACAAAACTGAAGTTAGTTTTACCGAAATTAAATATTTTCCCTCACAGAAAAAAAAAATCAGAAACTGCCACATGGTTCCAAAAAACAGGCAGCTCTCCTCTGTGGTAAAGTGAGGTTTGGGGGTCACGGATCCCCGTATCACTGTGACAAACAGAACACACTAGCACATACCGGAACCTTACGTGCTCAGCTATCTATGGTATCTGAATAGAGTTAAAGCAAAACAGAGCTCATCTGCCACACAGTCTTCGTTCAGTTTTCCCCAAAATCTTCAACACAGTGATTTCCTGTTTCTAGAAAAGACTAGACTTTCCAATCCTTCCCACCTGAACAGAAACACCACTCTCCAGCCGCCACCCACGCAGGAAGAGGAAGAAGGGTGGAGAACACCTTTCACATGCAGCGGGCCAAGACTGTAACGTTCAGGTGCCAAGAAAAGCCAGTCTGCAGGGGGAGGCTTCATTCAACTGTGTGTGCGGCGGGCCTCGGTGCCTTCGGGAGGAACCTAGGTGCTGAGAACAACCAGTTTGTGGAGCTGGTAGAGAAAGGTGTTCTTCCCTCGGCCACTCTCCCGGTCAGCCTGATCCATGACCAGCTTTGGATCAACCTAGGGACAGACAAAAGGATCAGTCGGACCCTTCTAGAAAATGGACCCTTATGGACATCAAGTAAAATAAGTAAACAAGTGAATAAAATTAGACACAGACACACGGATGTGTAGGACAGGAGTCAGGAGTCTATCAGTCTCCAAGCGTATTTCCCGAATGCTGCCCTTCTCTCCAGCACTGATACTGTACGTCTGACAACTCTCCTTTAACAATACAGTGACCTTTACTTGAGGGTCGCACGCACACCCCCTTCCTGTGTACGTGGGAACTGCGACTTCGTTAAATATGTGTACGTTTTCCAAATCACGTCAACCTCAAAATAAAGTTCTGTTTTCACAGAGCCCACAGGAGAGGCAGCAGGCGCCCTTGCTGTCGCCCGGACAGAGCCCTGTGACACAGGGAGCTGGCTCCAGGGTCCGGTCCTCAGCGCTCTAAGTAGGGATCCCGGTCACATGCACACAGGAGAAGGAGAGCTTCCTCTGGGCTCAGGACGGGAAAACAGCACCCCCAGGGGCATCGTCTCACTTCTACTGCAACTGGTTTATTTACAAAAAAACACCCTTGGCTCTAGAACTAAAGCGGGAAGCCCCTCCCTTAGGGTCCTGCCCCTTGAGTTAAATGTTATGTTTCCAAAACTTGGCATGGAAATGTCCAGGCGCCCCAGATGGGCCCTGCCCTCCTTCCCCACTGCTCTGGACTGACCCGGGCCCCGAATCCATAGGCTGAAGCTCTCATCACTGCTGTAATGGTGTCTGGAGATGGGGCCTTTGGGGGTGAGTGGGGTTACATAAGGTCGCAAGGGGGAGGCCCCCACGATGGGTTTAGAGTCCTTCTCAGAAGAGCCGTGAGGGAGAGATCCCCTCTCTCCACCACGTGAGGACACAGCACGAGGGCGGGTGTCTCCGAGCTGGGAAGGGGGCTCTCACCAGATCCGGGCCCGGCCGTGCCGTCTACAGGCGAAGCCACCTCGGCCGCAGTGCACTGAGAGCCCCAGCAGCCCGGGGCAGCACCGACGTGCCCAGACAGCTCGCCTGGACAGCTCACCCGGACGCTCCCGCTGCTTCTGCCACAGTGGCAGGACTGTCGGCCCGGGCCTCACAGAGAGCACAGCATCCAGACTCAGCCACCCCATGAACCAAAGAGCCGTCCACTCTGCCTGTCCCTTTCTATTCCCTCGGGACTTGCCACAACCCCGGCTCTGCACCTGCCAAGCCCATCACTCCCAGGGCAGGCTGTCCCCATGGCGCTATTTCTCACTCACCTGATTCCACTCATACGGCTTTTCATGCCACTTAGGGACAACTCTCTGTCTTGGCTTCAACTGACAGAACAAACTAAAATTATTAAAAAAAATTAAAAAAATCATGTTGATTATACGTCAGTAACTGAAAACACTATTATTTAAAAAAAGTTATTTATTTTTGTAAAAGAGAGCGAGCGAGCAAGCGCACGAACGGGGAAGCAGCAGCAGAGGGAGAGGGAGAAGCAGGCTCCCTGCTGAGCAGGGAGCCCGACGTGGGGCTCAATCCCAGGACTCTGGGATCATGACCCAAGCTGAAGGCAGACGCTTAACTGACCGAGCCACCGAGGCACCGTAAAAAGAGATTTAAATCCATAATTATAACTGCAGTAAGTTTTTAAAAGGTCAAGATTTACGTAGTTATGACCAGAGAACATTTTAACCCGCTGTCCACGCAGGAGATGCAGAAGACCAACCCATGTCCCCCCCTGCGCCTCCACAGCGAGCAGCGCTGCCCCGTCCCATACACGGCTGCCTGAGGGGACCTCGGTGTGTCACATCTTCTACTCCTAGACACCTGTGTCAGGTGGAAATGCCATGAAAGGCACAGAGAGGCAGAGCCTCCCAGCAACGACAGAACAAAGTCTAGAAATCTCACACCCCCAAACAACTGTAAAATTTGACAAAATTGTCCAAAACCCACAAACCCCCAAACATTTGAAATTCAAGGAAAACAAGTAAGCTGAGAAGCATTCATTCACAGAGCACTCCTGACTGCGGGTGAGACAGCGGCGTCTGGGCTGCGGCTCCTGCGGAGGGCCTCGCTCCTCCCATCCACCAGCTCAGCCTCGGACCCCAGCGCTGCCCGGCCAGATCGGCCGCCGAACCCGGCGCCCTCACTGCCGGACTGAGCTCACTTGATCAGGTGCTGAGAGAAATGCTCCGTCCAGCAGCACCAGCAGCAGAAACAGTAAACCTGGTCAGAAAGAAGGGAAAAGCCCACAGCTCTGCCAGCCTTAGGTCATGGTCGTGCTTGGGCGCAGAGCAGACCGACAATGTCAGAGCCCAAGAGGGAGGTTTGGGAATGAGAGTACCAGAGGCCCACACACCCCCCCCCCCACATCCCCTGGGCAGCTAGAGGGCCACACACAGGCAGACAAGACTCAGACGGCCCTGAGCCAGCCAAGCAGCCCGGGATGACCAGGTAGTGGGTGCGCACAGCAGAGTCGTGGGGGAAAGTAAAAACTGGCAAGAGTCCAAAATAGTCTGAACTGTGGCTGCATTCCCCAAGCCACATACGCATCTCCCGGCAGAGGGCAGGAGCTTAAAGGCTTAGGGACTCAAGCGCAACGTCTGACTAATCACCAACTGAGCACTGCGCGACGCACACACAGGGACGACTCCTGGTGAGCCAGGCTGAAAACAGAAAGGAGAACTGAAACAAAAACAGAACGCAGGCATCAGTGGCCTCACAACACGGCGGAAAGCCTGCCCTGCAGAACCCCGTACGGGGCTTGGTCCCACACTACTACGCGACATCCCAGAAACAGAAGACATGAGCAGACGCTCCTCCAGAAAAGACATCCAAACGGCCAACAGACACACGGATAAGTGCTCAGCATGTCTCGGCATCAGGCAAACACAAATCAGAACCACACTGAGATCCCACCTCACACCAGCCAGAATGGCAAAGTTAACGACTCGGGAGACGACCGGTGTCGGCGAGGATGCGGGGAACAGGGACCCTCGCGCACCGCTGGTGCAAGCTGGAGCAGCCGCTCTGGACACCAGCATGGAGGTTTGTGAAGAAGTGGAAACCAGAGCCACCCTACGGCCCAGCAATCGCACTACTGGGTACTTACTCAAAGAACACAACACAGTGATCCGAAGGGGCACGTGCACCCCAATGTTTATAGCAGCAACGTCCACAACAGCCAAACTGTGGAAGGAAAGAGCTGGAATGTCCGTCAACAGGTGAATGGATAAATACGCTGTGGTCCATGTATACGAGGGACTATCAGTCGCCAGGAAGAATGAAAACTTAGCATTTACATCGACGTGGATGGAACTAGAGGGTAATGTGCTGAGCAAAAGAAGTCAATCAGAGAAAGACAACTATCATACGGTCTCACTCATATATGGAATATAAGAACCAAAACATATAACAAAGAGGAAGGGAGGGAAAAATAAAATGAAATCAGAGAGGGAGGCAAACCATAAGGGACACTGAACTCTAAGAAACTGAGGGCTGCTGGAGGGGAGGGGAATGGGATGGGGTGGCAGGGTGGTGGGCATTAAGGAGGGTGCTTCAGGGGCGCCTGGGTGGCTCAGTGGGTTAAAGCCTCTGCCTTCAACTCAGGTCATGATCCCAGGGTCCTGGGATCGAGCCCCACATTGGGCTCTCTGGGCAGCGGGAAGCCTGCTTCCCCTTCTCTCTCTCTCTGCCTGCCTCTCTGCCTACTTGTGATCTCTGTCTGTCAAATAAATAAATAAAATCTTTAAAAAAATAAAAAAAAAAAAGGAGGGTGCTTCATGGAACGAGCGCTGGGTGTTACAGGAGACTGACGAAACACTAAATTCTACCCCCGAAACTAAAAGAAATTTGAAAAGTAAAAAAATAAAATGGCCACTTTTCAGCAAAAAACTGAGAGACAGTTTGCAAGAAGTAGGAATGTATGACCCTCACCCAGGGGAGAAAAGCAGCCGACAGCGCTAGCAGGCCCGAATGTGGGTTTAGCGCGCAAGACGTCAGAGCCGCCATCGTGAGTACCCACGAAGAATTCAAGCGAACCACTTCTAAATACAGGAAAATATGGCAACGACTCAGAGATAACCGCATTAAGAATTAAAAACTACACAAAAGAAAAACCTGGAAGAGAAATTCTAGAGTTGAAAAGTACAATGACTGGGGCACCTGGGTGGCTCAGTGGGTTAAAGCCTCTGCCTTCGGCTCAGGTCATAATCCCAGGGTCCTGGGATCGAGCCCTGCGTTGGGCTCGCTGCTCGGCGGGGAGCCTGCTTCCTCCTCTGTCTCTGCCTGCCCCTCTGCCTACTTGTGATCTCTGAGTGTCAAATAAATAAATAAAATCTTTAAAAAAAATTTTTTAAAAAAAAGTACAATGACTGAAAACGGAAACGCCCTTACGGCGCACCACACCGGCAGGCCTGAGACAGCAGAGTCGGGCGGCAGTGCCCGTAATACAGACAGAAATCAGTCTGGGGGGCGGCTGGGTTGCTCCGTCGGCTGCGCGGCCAAGTGTTAAGATTTTGGATCAGATCACTGTCTCGGGGTGGTGGGAGGGAGCCCCAGGTTGGGAACCCCCGCTCAGCAGGGGGTCTGCTTGAGACTCTCTCCCCCGACGCGTGCACACGCACACCCGCTCTCTAAAAGTAAACCTTCAGAAAAAGAAAAGGATTACAAAAGAAGATTCTCAACAACTTTCTGTAAATAAACTAGTCAATTCAAATGAACAAATCCCTAAAAGACACAAACTATCAAAACTGACTTAAAAAGAAATAGAAAATCTGAATAGACGTAAAAACAAGAAATTCATTTAGTAACTAAAAATTTCCCCCGCAAAGCAGTCCCGGCTCAGATCGCTTCACTGGAAAATCCTGTCAAATGTTTAAAACGCATTCCTGGAAGCCAGTTTTACCCTGATACCGAACCAAAGACTTCACAAGACAAGGACAAACCAACCGCCCTCATGAGCACAGATGGGAAAATCCTTTAACAAAAAAATGTTGCAAACCATCTACAAATCTATAAAAAGAGATTACACACCATGTGGAATTCAAAACAGAAACATAAGGCTAGTTTGAACACCCCAAAAGCAAGTAATAAAATATACCATATAAATTGGAGGAAAAGAAAGAAAACAAACGTAATTACCTCAAGGACAGAAAAAATATTTGGCAAAATGCAACGTCCCTTCTGACAAAAGCTCTCAGCACACTGCGGGCAGCTGGGGACATGCGCAACCTGGCAAGCCCCCTCTGTGGAGAAGCCACAGCCAACCCCCTCCTAGCGAGTGGCCGAGACCCGCACAAGAGCAAGATTCCGCCACGCCATCTCCACGCCCAGCGCGCTGCGAGCTCCAGCCAGGACGGAGCAGGAGAGAAGTGAGGAGCACACAGGGCAGTGAGGAAGGAGAAAACCTGCCTCACTCACAGGCACGATCCCGTGCATGAGAGAGAGATCCCAGAGAATCTGCAGAAACTACCAGTACTGATAAACCAGCTTATTAGCAAGATCACAGGATACAGATCAGTATGTGAAATCAGTTTATTTCTAGCAACGAACAAGCCAAAAATAAAATAATTTCATTCACAATAGGATCCAAAAGACTAAAATACTTAGAAATAATTTAACAACAGTACAAGATCTGCACGTTGAAAACTATAAAAACAGGTGAAGAAGTAAATGAACAGAGAACTATCAAGCAAGCCCTCTTCGTGGAGCGCACAAGTCAGGACGGCTGAGCTGCTAATTCTCACCAAACTGGCGGTGGATCCAGCAAAATCCCTACTACAGGTTCAGCAGGCCGGCTGCAGACTAACAAGCTGGTCCTAAAACGGATGTGGAGGTCCCGGCTGGCTCAGTAGTGGGACGCAGAGCTCTTCGTCTTGGGGTTGTTGAGTTTGAGCGCCACGTGTGATACAGGGATTACTTAAAAATTTAAAAAAAAAAGAAATAAAATGTATATAAAAAGGATCTAGAATAGCAGGCACAATTTTGAAAAAACAAGAGCCAAACAGGAAGATTAATATTAACCAACCCCAAGACTTGCCATAAAACTACAGCAGCCCAGACGGTACAGGATTGGCATAAGACAGATGTAAACAGGGGCCTGGGGGGCTCAGTGGGTTCAGCCTCTCTCTGTGCCTACTTGTGATCTCTATCAAATAATTAAATAAATAATCTTTTTTTAAAACGACAGACAGAACAAAATAGAAAGTCGAGAAATAAACCTCCACGACATTTGGGGCCACAGATGCCAAAGCAGGTCAGCGGGGGAGAGTCGGGCTTCCCAGCTGATGGGCTTTATAACGAGTTCATCTGTGACAAAACGAACGTAGATTTTCACATCTACACCACACAAGTGAAATCTCAAAACAGACCAAAACCTAAATACACCAAGCAAACATGAGAGTTAAAGGGAAAAAGAGCAGAAAACTTCTATGACCTCGGGCTTCGCAAAGATTTTTCAGATATAACACCAGAAGCATAATCCGTTTTTTAAAGAAGACAAAGCAGATGCCACCCAAACTGAACACCGTGTTCTTCAGGGGACACCAGTAAGACAATGAGGGCGAACCACCGGGACAAGATCCACCAGCGGCACATCCGCGGAGAAGCTTCCAGCCAGGACGCAGGCTTCCACAACTCAATAATGAGACAACTCAACTTAAAAACAGGTAAAAGATTAAAATAAATATTTCACCCAAAAACACATAATCAGTTAACATACAAAGATGCTCTCTATCACCAGTCACTAAGGAAACGCAAACTAAAACTACAGTGAGCACCACGCCTTTGGCAGCCGGTTGACAAGTGCGTGGACGACGGCGTGTGCTGGCAGGACGCGGTGACACCGGAGGCGCCACAGACTGCTGGCGGGGACGTGACAGGGCAGACACGGGAACAACAGTCTGGTTGTTCCTTAAGGAATTAACATGGACTCATCACACGACCTCCCAGGGTTACTCCCAGATCTCTACCCCACCGAGCTGAAAATCCGTGTTCACCCAGAGACGGGATGGCCCGAGGGAGCACCATTCAGCAGAGCCCATACTGGCGACACCCGCACGCCTCACCCACTGGTGAGTACAGACACCGGAGCGTCACCCTGTAATGGAACAGAACGTGCCACCGCACAGAGATACAGCAAACAGGCTAAAAACTTCAGTTTTTTTAAAACAGCCCTTCTGGGGCGCCTGGGTGGCTCAGTGGGTTAAGCCTCTGCCTTCAGCTCAGGTCATGATTCTGGGGTCCTGGGATTGAGTCCTACATCGGGCTCCCTGCTTGATGGGGGGCCTGCTTCCCCCTCTGCCTCTGCTTCTCCCCCTGCTCACACACTCCAACAAATCTTTAAAAAAACACCTTTGTTGAGGGGCGCCTGGGTGGCTCAGTTGGTTAAGGCCTCTGCCTTCGGCTCAGGTCATGATCTCAGGGTCCTGCGATCGAGCCCCGCATCGGGCTCTCTGCTCAGCGGGGAGCCTGCTTCCCTTCCTCTCTCCCTGCCTGCCTCTCTGCCTACTTGTGATCTCTGTCTGTCAAATGGATTAATAAAATCTTTAAAAAAAAAAAACCACCTTTGTTGAGATATCACTTATTACTATCAAATTAATCAACTTTAAGTATACAATTCAAGAGTTTCAGTAAATCTATGCTGTGCAAGCATCACAATTTAGTTTCAAAACACCTGTGTGAACGTTTGAGGCAGATGAAACGTAGGACGGAGTGGCGGTCAGGGTCGGCACAGCTCTACAAACGTACTTACTACCGTCACTGAACTGTGATGTGAAACCCCCTGCCCAAGGCCTAACTCGTCAGGACGCGGTCACTCCTGCTGACAGGGGTTGTGAGGAGCTGAAAAGGAGCATCGGTCGCTGGTCCCTGCAGGCCCGAGGCAGGCTCCCGTGCTGCCAGGACTCAAACTGTGCCGGGCACGGGGCATCTGACCCGCTGGGGACATTCCACACCTTCCCACGGACATTCTGGGTGGATTTCTTTCAGTTTTATAAGGACGCTTCATGTTTTCTAGCATTGTTTCTGACCTGGGTGCCCATGCCTCGGGCAACTACCCTGAGACGGCCTGAGCACATGCCGGTTATCAAACTTCAGTGCAAAGTTCACAGACAAACACTTGCATGTACAGAACTGAAGAGAGAAAACTGAAGTTAGCCTTTCTCACAGTTGCTGAGGCAGCTTCGATATTTAGCACCTTTATAGAAAGGTACAACTTACCCTAGAAGTTTCTGACGAGCATTATCCTGTAACTGTGCAATTCTTTCTGGCCCAAGAAACTTCGACCCATTTGGCCCATCACATACCAGCTTGTTGATAGCAGCCCTGAGAATATTAATCTGTAAATAAAGGACAGCCCAAATATTCATATGGTTGTACTGTAACTGCGTTTCATTCTACATTTAAGTAATTCATAAGCATTCACAGCTGTTCATACTCATCCCTTAAAGATTTTATTTATTCAGAGACAACGCATGCGCACACGTGAACAAGAGTGAGCAGGGGGAGGTGCAGAGGGAGAGGGAGACTGAGAATCTCAGGCAGACTCAGAGCCCAGCATGGGGCTCGATCCCAGGACCCCAAGATCATGCGTGACCTGAGCCAAAATCAAGTCAGATGCTCAACAAACTGGGCCACCGAGATGCCCCCAGTGTTCATATTCTTACAACTATCATCGATACGATTTCTGGAACAAATTATTAAAACACACATAATAGGGGCGCCTGGGTGGCTCAGTGGGTTAAGCCTCTGCCTTCAGCTCAGGGTCCTGGGATCGAGCCCCGCGTCGGGCTCTCTGCTCAGCAGGGAGCCTGCTTCCTCCTCTCTCTCTGCCTGCCTCTCCACCTACTTGTGATTTCTATCTGTCAAATAAATAAATAAAATCTTTAAAAATAAATAAAATAAAACACAAATAACATCAATAACCAGTCCCTAATCTGAGAAACAGTAACCGAACAAAGAAATATAAATCAGCAAGAAAGGTTCAGAGTGTTCAGTCTAATCACCCTTGTTAAACTCGTGGGGGTCACACAGTCCAAAACCTACCTGTATCCTACATACTCCTCTCGCTTCACAACATTTCTGCTGAAGCCCCGGGAGCAGCTCACCACAGAGGTATGACAAGTCATGTTTTGGGACAGTCTCTGTCACAGTTCTGTAAGAAAACTCTCCGTCCTAACGGGAGACCTGCAGCTGCTGCAAAGATGCGCCGGCCAACGAAGCTGCCCCCGCCCAGCCAGGAGGCGCTCGCACCCCCAGCACAAGCGTCTCGCTGAGAAGCCCAGGCTCCATGGGGACTGCCCGGCTTCCCGGCACGTCCCTGCTCCACTCCCGGCTGACCCAGGGCACTGCCCTGCACCCGCGCCATGACTCCCCAGGGCCTCTGATCGAGAGCACTCTCTCAGCCTTCCTTGCTTTTCAGAACTTGACGGCTGTCTAAGGAATTCTGGGCAGGTCTTTCGTGGGATGTCCCCAGTTTGGGTTTGTGCGACACTTTCCCATGGTTAGACTGAGGTGATGGGTTTTGGGGAGAAGCCCCCAGAGGTGAGGTACTTTCCCATCGCATCACACCAAGGCACGGGTGCCACCGCCATGACAGAGGCCTGTGACGCAACCCGTGAGCACCCAGCTGGGGTAGTGTCCACCGACTCTCCCCCTTGAAGGCCGCTCCTCTTCTGCCAGGAAGCATGTTGGTGAGTCCGGTCCGCCCTCCGGATGGCGTCATGACAGATTAAGCTCTGCTCCCGGGAGCAGCGTCTACAGGCATGTCTCTTCATTTGTTTATTGAGTCATTTCGATCCTTGTGGGCATGCAGGCGACCGCAACCACCTGGCACTGAGTCACGGTCTGACACTAAAGCAAGCGGTCCTGGCTCTGGCCGGCATGAGCTCTCAGTCGGCCCCACGTCCCTCTGACGCGCCCCGTCCTTTAGTCTTCTGGGAGCTCCAAGGCTCCTCCTCCGTTCTCCCTGCTCCAACCCTAGAGAAAGCCATTTTTCCAAGGAGCCCTGGTTCCTTTCCTTGGTAAATCCTATCAGGAACACAGTCTGGGTATCAGGTCTGTTCAAGGCTAACAGGGTCGCGGCTCCTAGGCCCTCACACGGCTTGGTGACAGATATCCGTATGTGAAGCCGTCACCTACACACACGATACGCATCTGTGCATGTGTAAGTTAAACAGGAATTCATACTGATGGCTGCCAGGCTCATGCCGTGCCCCGAGGTCCACTCCAGCCCTCCTGTCCTGTGTGCAACTGCTCCGGGGCCTGGCTCCCACGCGTGGGCCCTGGCCGGTTCAGCCCCAGCACCACGGACAGCAGCTGCAGAGCGAAGGAGCGGGACCGTGACGGGGACGGAGTTTACGCGCAGCTGCTTCTGGCGGCAGCTGTACAATCTCCAAAGCTCTTTTCCTCCTTAGTGCAATGGCCCAACGTCTGTGTGTCTGTCTCCATCGGGTACCTTAGCGCTCCTCCTGCATGGGGATCGGTCTGCGGGTTGACCAGCGCGTGGGGTCGTGTATCCAGCACCCGAGCAACCCACAGAGCAGCCCCTCTCTGCAAGAAGCACCAGTCTGCTCGCTGTCCTACGGCCCAGCCTTCCCCAGAGTGTGTCACGTGAAGGGGACCATACAGCGTGTGGCCTCCGCGTCCCGGCTTCTCTCCCACGGAGACGGGCATTTAAGACTTACTCGAATCACTGCTCCTGCTTTTGTGCTGCCTTGCGTGGCCATCGCACATGGTCTCCAAGCATCCCCTTTTGAGAGACATCTCGATTGCTCCCAGTCTCCAGCAAGTACGAATTATGAGTGAAGCCATCAACGTTCACCTGTAGACGTCATGTGGATGTAACTGTTCTGATCTCTTGGATAAACCATTGGAGGTGGGACTCTTAGACCTCATGGTAGATGCATTCAACTTCTACGAATCTTGTCTTCCAAAACAGGAGCTGCGCTCTGCCACCCCCCAGCACCGGGCAGAGTCCCCACTGCCTCACATGCTCACCAGCATCCATTACTGTCAGGTTCCAGACTGAAGCCGCTGGAACAGGCACACAGAGGACTGTCCTCGTGGTCTTGATTTGCATTTCCCAATCAACAGGACGTTGAGCATCTCCTCGTGTTCATTGCTGCCCAGAGTTTCATTTAGTTACTTTTTAAATGACCAGGTCTTCAGACTTTCTTACATATTATGGACAAAAGTCCTTTGTCACATAAATGACCGGCAAGTGTTTTCTCCTGTGAGCGGCCCATCCTTCCATCCTCTTAGCAGGCTCTTGGGCAGAGTGAAGTTTTTAATTTTGACCGAGTCCGGCTTCCCAGTTTTTTCTCCAACAGACCGCGCTTCTGGTGCTGCTTCCACACTCACTGCCAAACCCAAGACCATATGCATCTTCTCCCGTATTTCCTTCCTGAAGTTTTCTCATTTTACATTTTACAGTAACAGTTTACATTTACATCTTTAAGCCAGAAGTACCGGTAAGTGAAAGAGCTGAGTCAGGGACACGGAAGCCGCCCAGTGCTAGGAGCCGTGGCCTCTGGGAGACAGGCGGGCGTGGCCGCCCTCAGCACCGCCTTTTCCCCACGCCCTCCCCCGCGGTGATGCCCGCCGCACCTACTTTGTGCAACTCCTGAGAACAAAGAGGGGCCAGGCACTCTGCAGCAGTGCTGCTCAGATTACGTGAGCTGAGGGCCAGCTTCATTTCTCTCTTTGTGACATGCAATAAAGCTGAATCACCACAATGAAATACAAGAATAAAAGCATATGAATACCAGCCCAAAGTTTTCATTATTAGATTCAAAAGCCATAAAATTACTTTGTCAAGCTGCTTCCTACGTTGCTGAGTGCTTAACCCTAACTGCCGCAGGGTCTTCCACTCACCAGGCCCCCCCCGGGCCCGTGAGCAGGGGCAGGCCCGGCAAGACTTCACTTCCCCTCTCCCACCCCGACCCAGCAAGGATGTGCAGCTGGTCTGGACTGGGCAGGAGACCTGGACAGAGAGTCGCAGCAGTGCTACTGCCCTGGGGTTTACTTCCACTGCCCAGAAAAGCTTACTGTGCCGGGAGAGCCCACGGGAGAAATTCCTAGAGCACCATCTCGGTCAGAGACCGAAGGGAAAAGTGAAATAGGCAGGTGAAGAGAGAGCAAGGACCTCCGGGACCAGAGGCGCAGGTCTGTATGCAGAGCACCGTGTCTGACGCTGTGTTCACTATTAAATGGCCGTGCTAGGGGAGCCCGGGTGACTCAGTGGGTTGAGCCTCTGCCTTCGGCTCAGGTCATGATCTCAGGGTCCTGGGATCGAGTCCCGCATCGGGCTCTCTGCTCAGCAGGGAGCCTGCTTCCCCCTCTCTCTCTGCCTGCCTCTCTGCCTACTTCTACCCACTTGTGATTTCTCTGTCAAATAAATAGATCAATAGTCTTTTTAAAAATAAATAAATAAATTCCTGTGCAAACCAACCACGGGAGAGACACGGCTGCTGCAGCGTGACGGACACACACATCTTACCTCCATGATGTCCTCCACGCTGAGCTGAACGTCAAAGGCTAGCTCGATGTCATGCTCCGGCAGGATAGGGGCACCCGTAGTTGGGTTCCACCCCAAACCACAAAGGACTCCAGTATAGCATTTTCCTTCCCGATCGACCCTAAATGAGAAGTTTTTAGAAAGAGTTACTATCTCAAAGCGATTAAACCACTGCTTTGGTGTCACAGAAATAGGCCAGTACGATCACCCTGAGCTGTGCCGACCCCAGTCCGGCAACTGATTTCATCTTTGCATTTTCTCTTCCAGTTTTCATACTGGAAATAATAGAGGATATTCAGTTATAAGGACAGTAAGTATGTTTATTAATCCATCATTTACATTTCTACATTTCTCACTACGTCAGATAACATAAAGTATATTTTACTGCATCAGTTTTTTCCCCACCTTCAAATTCTTCCCATGAGTTAAATTCTTATTAGTGAGGTTTCTGCAGAAAGGGTGATACACATGTATTTATGGCTGTGAAAGAAGTCTAGCACCTTGTAAAAGCTTACAAGATGTCTGTCCCACCTTCTTACCCTGTTGCAACCATACACCGAACCCTGCCCGCTCCTCTCCAGCACCATGTCCCATCACTTCCATGTTCAAAGTCTCCCTCCATCTCGTGACCCTCTCCACGTCTCGTCAGCACCCACACAGCCACGTTCAGACCCATCTTCCCCACACCGACTCCTGCCTCTCCGAGTGTGGCTCCCACACAGCAAAGACTGTTAGTTTTCAGAACAACTCCAGTCATCATCCTACCCCTTGCTTAAGGGCTTCTGGTGGTTTCCTGCGGCATTCTGAGCAAAACCTGAGCTACTCTGAGCCACAGAGCGTCCAGTCTCTGCTTCGCTCCCCCATGTCATCTCAAATCACGTTCTCCGCCCCCTGTAGCCCTGCGCCAGGCTCCAGCCCCTCTGGCTTCCCTACAGGCCAGTTAGGCTCCTCCAGGGGGGAAACGCTTCCTCCCCCTGCCATGCCCCTAGAGTCCTCTGTCCCCAGGCTCCTTCTCCTGTCCAGGAGTTAAATGCCAGCATCACAGCCCAGAACAGGATCAACAAATAATTATAAAACAAGTAAACAGATATTAACGCTTAATACCTTTTTTAAAAAAGATTTTATTTATTTATCTGACAGACAGAGATCACAAGTAGGCAGAGAGGCAGGCAGAGAGAGAGAGGAGGAAGCAGGCTCCCTGCTGAGCAGAGAGCCCGATGCAGGGCTCGATCCCAGGACCCTGGGATCATGACCTGAGCCGAAGGCAGAGGCTTAACCCACTGAGCCACCCAGGTGCCCGTCACTTAACACCTTCTAAAATATTTTGCTAATTTTCTTTGACTCTTAACTCAGACTTTTCCCCCCATAATCTAGATCAATAAAGTTTTGATGAAAATAATCCAGGCAAACATAGAGCTTTCTTCTTAGCCCTAAAGACACACATACACAAACACACAAACTCCTTTTTCACTTTCATGAAAACGAAAGAGAACCCCACTTTACGTACACTCAGAGAAGAGCTCCAGAAAGAAGAGCACCTTACAAAACAGCCACCAGTGTCTCTCTGAAGAGTATGCTCCCCCCGTTATTTTTAACACGACATAATTTACTCTTATTTCAATTTCTAGAAAATCCTTCCAGAAAAGAAACAATAGCCCCGGGTCACCAATGGTAAGACTAACGGCTTTCAGCATGGTTAATAAAACGCCACATCGCCCCTACCTCACTAACGGCCACTGACACTTACACAGGTCCCCTCACACGTGCTAACAAACGCTTATCAACAAGTATAGTCCCAAAAGATTCAGCCTTGAACTGACCCACAGCAGGACAGTCATTCTCTGTTCATTGGCTCTAAACCTTCAGCCAACAAAGCTAACCAAGCACCGGCTTGAATTCTTTTCTGGGGATCCTAGAAACTCATGTGCAGTAATTAGGACCACAGACATATTCTTCTTTCCTTCATCATACCCATTTTGAACTGTGACGGAGAACTGCCAAAGTCACGCAACGAAAGCCGAGTGTGTTCCGTGAAGATACGGCCCAGGGCATGCCGGAGGCCTAATTCATTCTGAGACAACTTACATAAGGGAACTCAAGCTTACGCAAGCTGACAACCACTGTGCTCGGAAGAGCTAACGTCTCCAGACAATCAGGTTTAAAATAAATACAACAGGGACGCTTGGGTGGCTCAGTTGGTTAGGCAGCTGCCTTCGGCTCGGGTCATGATCCCAGCGTCCCGGGATCGAGTCCCACATCGGGCTCCTTGCTTGGCGGGGAGCCTGCTTCTCCCTCTGCCTCTGCCTGCCATTCTGTCTGCCTGTGCTCGCTCTCTCTCCTTCTCTCTCTCTGATAAATAAATAAAATCTTAAAAAAAAATAAAAAAATAAAAAAATAAAATAAATACAACAGAAGAGCCACCTGCACTGAAAGCTAATAATCTAGAACACTCCCCACGTGAGCCAAGGAGGAAATGCGCTTCCTTAAAACTGAAATGTGAGTCAGTGGGAAACAGCTCAGTTACACGGTCATCATCTACGGAGTTCAGCTGAGCCTTGGACAACACGGTTTAAACTGTGCAGCTCTAGCTACACGTGCATTCTTTTCAATGAATACACCAGAAGATTTCTGGAAACCTGGGAAAATATTTCTTTTTGCTAGCTCACCTAATCACAAGAACGCAACGTAACATACACGTGACCTACAGCGTACGGGTCCACCGACTCGAGGTCCTCAATACGGCCCCCCCCCCAACAGCAGGCTCTGTCGGTCAAGGGACAGCTGCGCGTGTCAGAAATCTACTGGAATTTCCAAATCCCGCTGCAGCCGCTCTGCGAGAAGGACGTGCCCTGCGATGCTGCCCAGAACCGCCCGAGTGGGGTGTACGCCATCACAGCACCGAGCACCTGTAGGGTGCTGTCCGGCCCTGGAGGCTGCACACTCTGCATTGAGGGGAGCCACCCGCCGCCCCGACGGGCCCATGAGCTCCCGACAGCCGTCCCTCGTCCCTCCAGACAGGAGGACCTCTGAGGCGGGAGACCCTGGCCCCGGGGCTGGCAGCACGCGGCGAGCCTGAGAGCCGGGCCAGACACACCTGCTGCCTCAGCCTTCCCAGCAGCCCCGAGCGAGCCCCCTCCTACCACGCTCCCACCTCATGCTCCCAGTACTTAAAGGCACCTCTGCGCTGTTCTCAAGTATTCTAAGGCTTCTTAGAAACAAGAGAGTTAGATGAAGATTTGTTTAAAGAGCAGTACGTGGGGGCACCTGGGTGGCTCAGTGGATTTAAGCCTCTGCCTTCGGCTCAGGTCATGATCTCAGGGTCCTGGGATCGAGCCCCACATCGGGCTCTCTGCTCAGCGGGGAGCCTGCTTCCCCCCCCCCCGCCTGCTTCTCTGCCTACTTATGATCTCTGTCAAATAAATAAATAAATAAAATTAAAAAAAAAAAAAAAAAAGAGCAGTACGTGACTGGCCGTAAACACTTCAGACAGGACGTCACCGGAGAGAAGGGGGCACGCTGTACAGACGGGGGGTCAGGAGCTCCATCCCATGCGCCATTGTCACGATGGCAAGCTGACACTTTCCCGAGACACATGGGGACTGTGGTCCCACAGCCTGGGTCTGGGTAGGACGGGGGCACTTCTGAGGCTGGTCCTAAGAGGCCACAGCTGCCCCCCAGCTCTCTCAGACGCAGACCTTGGGCACCCAGCCACCACACTGGAGGCAGCTCCGGTGAGCCCACGCAGAACCCCCGACAGGGAGGCCCTCGGGAGCCTCGGGGGCAGAAACTGAGGCCTCCAGCCCCAGGCCGGAATCAACCACCAGACACGTGAACAGAGCAGGCGGGACTCCCACCCCTGTGCCGCCAGGGCCTCCTGCTGAAGACCCAGACGGCAAGGAGCAGGGACCAGCTGTCCCTGGGGGACCCCGTCTGAGCTCCTCGCACAGCACCGCAAGGGCCGCTAGAGTAACTGTTGTGCAGCCAACACGGAACAGACGGTAACAAAGCCCAAGCTCCCACGGAAGCCGCTCCGCTGGTTTCCAGCCGCCCGGCCCCTCGGGGCGGGTTACTCTTTTAGGGGATTCCCCCTCCCTTGCTTCCGGGGCTGGAGCGCTGCCCTGAAAAGACACCAGATTGGCTGCCCTCGCCCCACCCCGGCCGCAAGAGCTGAGCCCCGGCGGAAGGACCCGGGTGGGGAGGTAAGGGATGCGTCAGGGCCGCGGACTGGCAGCACCTGCTCCCCAACCCCCACTGCCCCTCCTGCGGACGCCGGGCTTGCTACTATGGAGCGTGTCCCTCTCACCGGGGACACCAGCACCGGGAGCCTGGAGCGGACGCGAGTGGACGTTCAAGGAAGCACATCGGGGAAGGGACCATGGGAGCAGGAGAGCTGAAGCCCGCTGAGGGCTGGGGTGTCGAAGGCCGGCCGGAGGCAACAGTGACAGGAAACCCGTGCCCTTCTTGAGGGCAGAGCTGCTCAGGCTCGGGCCCCCAGCTGGCAGAAAGCAAAGGGAGGGGGCGAGAGGTGCAGAGAAGGGGCAGGGAACGGCGGCCAGCCCGGCCAGTGGTCCCAGGTGCCAGACGGGACCCTGGCCTCCCCGGGGCTCTGCTGGCTGCTGGAGATAGGCAGCCCCGCACCCCCCGCCTCTGCAGACAGTGCGCTGGGGTGGCGGACCTGCCTTCCGGTCTTCAGTTTGCCGTCACTTTTGACAGGACAGTGACAGAGTGGAGCCAGAGGCCGCGCGCTGGGACAGCCCCGTGCTGGGACAGCGGCCTGCCAGCTGCCGCAACCCCATGGCCGCGCCTGGGAGGAAAAGCCGCTGAGGCAGCCGTGGGGGCCTCTCTACCCTGAAGAGCCACTGGGGCCCAGGCCTCGGGTGACAGGAGTGAGCGCGCCCACATCAGGCCCCCTTTCCCTCCAAAGCTCCTCAAATAATGGCCCCTACGGACTCATCAAATTTGAGAAAGCTCACCCAAGTACTCAGAAGCAGACCTGCGAGGACGCAGCCCCAGCCCTACCTTCCCCATCTGCGGACCAGCAAGCTGAGCCTATGCGTCTGGCCACTCAGCGTCACCCACATGATCGCAGAAACTACCCTGCTGGCTCATTTAAACTCAACACACTGAACACAGAGTGTCAGCTACGTGTGAAGCGCTAATACTGTTTCTGCACAAGCCTCTCCTAGTAAGCTTTTGTTCTAGAAAGGGGGCATTTTAAATACCAAATACTTCCACGGTTTTTGAGTGTCTCTAACATAACCACTTGCACTTCGGAGATTTACAAGTAACACAGTGTGTCACGCACGCCGTCCAGAAGATCGTATTCAAAACAAAAGCCCGGCAGGACCTGAGTCCAGTGAGAGAAGCAAGGACAGTGTCAGCAGTGTTGGTCGGGAGGCTGCGATTCACACCGTCACCGAGTCGCCTCCCTACGGCCGCACGGCAGCTTTCTTCCTTGATAGACAGTCTCACGTAGTGTGCTGTTTTTACAAGTTTGTCTCCCCTGTGACGACTCAGAAGATAAATACCGTCAAGATACTCATCATTATTGCAGAATGAGAGAGAAGCCCAATTCCAACATTTAAAGGCACAGTAAATCCCTTCGGGACGAGAGCAGGTCAGAAACAAAAGCGCATGTAAATAAAGTGGGGCAGTGTCTATACAAGCCATTTTATGTCCACTCAGGGCCATACGATGCATTTTAATATTTTACTAAATATTCTACTTACTTATTCTATTTAGTAAACGTTCTATTCTAATAAATTCTATTTTCATGGATATTTACAGACATCATAATGTGAAAATGCTTATATTTGTGGAAAAGACATAATATGACAAAAACCTAAAAACAAAAAATTTATGTAATAATTCTGAAAATACACTAAATGTTTAAAAAATGATTGGGTTTCTTCCCAGTCAGCTTTTTCCAGATTTTTCTAAGCAGGATGTATTTTCAGTGCTAAAAAAGAACATACACAACCGTCTTCTACACCAAGGGCGACCGTGCTCCAGACGCTGAGGGGTGCGCGGAGGGCTGAGCAAGGCGAGGGCCGGGCCGCCGGCCGCCAGCAGCCCCAGCCAGCCACGCAGAGCGGTGAGCTGCCCGGAGACCAGACCTTGTTTCTCTACAGCAGCCCATGGGCGCTTCCCCAGGGTAAATGCTCTGCACGCACCGAGTGTCAAAGACCCGTGGCGCGGCCGTCCCCACGGTTGGGCGCTGCCGAGGACTCTCTTCCCGCTCACACAGTTCCCTGTGCCGAAGCCTTCAGGACAAGTCCCGGTTCCGTCTGGGCACCAGGAAGAGCCACAGCGGGCACAGCGGTCTGCTTTCTCGTCGCCCGGTTCCCATCGCCAGGGGTATGGACGGGCAGCCTGCTGACGCCGGGGGCCAGACGACGGAGTGCCACTTCCACGGCTCCTTAGCGACAGGTTAGCCACCTGCGCGTTGTTCATCCAGAGCTATTCCTGGTTGCTTACCTTCTTCCTCCGGCCCTGCCGTTCCCCAAGCCCCCACGTGGCCCTGTGTGTGTCGGGCAGGTGTGCTGGTGGCAGTGACGTCACCTCGGCCGCACCGAAGCCCGGGGAAGCTCTGCAAGCGGCCACCAGGGCCCCGGCCAGGCGCTCCCTAAGTGTCTCCTCTCCCTCGGGGGGAGGCCGGAGAGGCACCCGCTTCTCCCACCGGGTTCGTACTTCACACAGGCTGGACGGACAGACGGACGAACCTTAACTCGATCACTGGCGCGAACAGCGCACTGAGGAGAGCCGGGAGGCCAGGCACGTGCGGCAGCAGAGACGTCTCTCTCAGCAGCATGGTGGACCCTGTCGGATGGTCAACAGAGGCGACGTCAGGCACGGACTCTACCCTGCAGAGTGCTGCACGCCCCTGCACACTCCTCATCCCCTTCGTGGAGTCTGGCCCGGTGGGGGGGGGGGCGGCCCCCAGCCCCATGCCCCCCCCCCCAGTCCGAGCCCAGGGCCCCACGGCACCCGCCGGGCCGCACGCTGCAGGCCTCGCCCTGCCGGGGAAGGCTGGTGGTTTCCCTTCTCCTCCTCCCCGACGGCCTTTCAGGTTCATCCTGGGGCCAAGAACCCCGGCCGTGTTGACGGAAGGAATCCGACCCAGAACCCAATCCCCACACCCCTGTGCAAAGCGAAGGCCACGTGCACCATTTCTTACACTCGGATCAGCCAAGGCGCTCGGAAGTGCCCTGCAGACACGGCACAGACCCGTGTCCGGCCCGCCGGCTGAGTCGTCCCAGCACCGGGCGGGGCGGGGGTGGGGGAACGGACGGACGGAGGCAGACAGGGCAGGCGAGCGTGGCAACGAGCGTGGCCCCAGCTCACCGGTCGCGTTGACAGAAAGGGAGGCCGCAACCAGCATCCTCTGGTGAAGGTCCTCGGGGGCGTCGCTGATGATGACAGAGTTGATGCTCTCCTTCTCCACCCACACACACCTGGAAGGGGCGCCGTCAGGAGACAGGGCGGACGCGCCCGCCGGGCAGCGCGCTGCGTCCGACCCCCCAGCTCACACGTGCCGGAGCCGTGCGCGACAGGGAAAGCTGTTCCACATCCCCGTGTCCGGCGCGCCTACCCTCGTCGTCCCGACCACCCCTCCCCGCCCTCGCCTCTCTCCTGCTCCCGGGCCTCGCGCCGGCCACACGCTGACAGCGCCCAGACTGCCGCCTCTGCCCCTGACCTCCGGGCCGCGCCCTGCTCCTGACCCGGCGCGCGGGACACCCGCCCCGCCCCTGCACTGCTCAGCAGACGCCGCGCAGAAAGGGCAGCTCCACTCGTCCCCTTCCCGCGTCACTGACTCTAGTCACATGTCACCGTTGACTCCACGGCGGGAGCACTCATAAAGCGTTCTGTGTCTGTACCTCCTGCCCTGGGCACCGTGCGGTCACGACGTCCCCAGCCGGGATGACAGCGGTGACCTGCCTCAGAAGTACGCTGCTACCTGAGGAGCCTTCTCCTCCCAAACCCGACGCATTCTTCACACTGGGGTCTGCCTGCCTCGAGGTGCCTACGGACCACCTGCGGATCTTAGGAAAATGCAGGCTCTCTGCAAAAGGGCCCGGGCTCTGCATTTCTGACGGGCTCCAAGAGACTCCTGGAGGGTTTCCTTGCAGCCAAAGCGATCGTGTAAAATACACGTCAGGCTTTCCAAGGGTCCTCGGATGAACTCGGGATCTTGCTCAAGACTGTCCCCGTCTGCCACAGCGCTGCGGCCCTCCGCTCCCCTCCCGCTCTCCTCTCTCACCTGCTCATTCTGAAGTGCAAAGTCAAACTGAGGCCAGGCCCAGGCCGAGGAACGCCCTCCCGCTGGTCCTCACCGCCCCATTCACTGACCATAGCCAACTCCTCTGCACGTCTCAGGTCCCTCTGGAAACCTCCACGGCCTTTCACGGCCCCAGTGTACTCAGGGCCCCTTGAGATGCTTTCGTAATGTCCCACAGCCCCTTCCACAATGTTCAAGAGCCTCATCAACTCTTCTTCTGAGGACCCATTTCCCTTGCACACCATCCCCACCAGACACCAATCTGGGGAATCACCCTGAGTCTACTTTGTTCACTGTTGTTCCCCTCACACCATACCCTGTTTCCAGAACACAACAGGCATTCACAGGTGTGCTGAATGAAAAACAGTTATAACAAGGACAGAAAAAACAAGGCCCTTGTTGGAAGATACTCAAGAACGTCTTAGACAGGGGCGCCTGGGTGGCTCAGTGGGTTAAGCCTCTGCCTTTGGCTCAGGTCATGATCCCAGGGTCCTGGGACTGAGCCCCACATCGGGCTCTCTGCTCGGCGGGGAGCCTGCTCCTCCCCACCCCTCCTCCGCCAGCCTCTCTGCCTACTTGTGATCTCTGTCAAATAAATAAAATCTTAAAAAAAAAAAAAAGAATGTCTTAGAATGGCTTTCATGTAAGAGAGAAAGAGTATCTCAGATTTGGGACTAGGAGAGGAATGAGAAGGAGCTGGAAAAGAATACATTCCAACAGTTTAAAGAAAGATTAGTTTCCATTAAACTCTGTAAACAGAGGAGCAAAGAAAAAAGAAATCCAAGGGGAACCTAAGTTACTCCTACCTGAACTTGGATATTCTGGTCAGACTATGACACTTCAGTTCATAAGGGTTAAAAGGCCCATGAAGTATCGCCTGTAGGTTAAAACACACACACACGCCACAATGTTACGAACAGGCAAATGATCACTTAATGTACATTTTAAAAATCCAAAAGTTAGCTCATGTGTTGAAAAGGAAGCGGCTACACGTTAGTTGTAACATCCTCAAGACTCAGTGGGGAAAACATGCCTGCGGTGCTTTTCTGGGATGGAGTGATTCTTTCCACCGTTTCACTAACACTCCTCGACAGATACATTTAAGGAAGGGTTTGGACAAAAAAAGGAAATACCGCCCAGTACTTCAGCAGAAGTATCATTCTTTCCATTGCGTCAGACTAATCCGACTGAGTAGTGAGCCCTGAGAGCACAGGGCCACAGGCTAGGGTGGCAAGAGCGGAGCCGCCAACCAGGGGGAGGGCACGCGGCAGCCTCTTCTCAGAAACAGGCCAGTGCACCGACCCCAGTGCTCGCTGGGGCCGGGCCGCCTCCCGGGCTGGGGTGCCTCCACATGGGCCTGGTTCCCGACAGCCCACACACTGCTTCCTCCACCTGCGCAAACCAGCACAGGCTGCCTTGGGAAGGGCTGGTTAAAACAGAAGAACTAGTCTGAGCATTTCTCTACACCAGACCCCAGGTGCTCCCCTCACTAGATAGGCACCATTGTGAAAAAAGTACCGGCCTTGAAAACCAGGACAGAAAAGCCTATCCTGACTGCTAGTTATGACTCAGCATGTAGATAAAACGACTTCAAGTTTTAAGCTGGATTTTAAACCGGCTCCTATCAATTACCTTGCAGTTGGGGGTACCGAGTTTATTAGAAGAAAAGCTCTCTAACAAAACCCGGATCAGGTACTTTTCATCATCCTTCACGGGAGAAGACGTAGAGAGCTCTGCCATGTTTTCCACGGATGTGGAGAAGAGACCCTTGAGAGCTTCGTGGCTTTGCTGAGCAGAATAAACAAAGTTCATTTTGCTTAAAGGAAAAACTGTATTAAAAGTTAATACAGTTGAAGATTTTATAGGCACAACCTTATTCTTACCTGATTACTAGGGTCACTAAGGTCAGGAGAAAATTTTATCAAATAAGTACACTTTAAAACCCAAATTAAAGAAATAAGATAGGAAGCGCCTGGGTGACTCAGTGGGTCAAAGCCTCCGCCTTCAACTCAGGTCATGATCCCGGAGTCCTGGGATCGAGTCCCACATTGGGCTCCTTGCTCAGCAGGGAGCCTGCTTCTCCCTCTGTCTCTGCCTGCCTTTCTGCCTGTGCTCACTCTCTCTGACAAATAAATAAAATCTTTCTTAAAAATAAAATAAAATAAAGAAATAAGATAGGATTCTTTTAAGGCTCTATTCACCAGGGTGCCTGGGTGGCGTGGTTGGTGAAGTGTCTGCCTTCAGCTCAGGTCATGATCCCAGGGCTCCCTGCTCTCCGGGGAGTCTGCTTCTCCCTCTGCCTCTGTCCCCTACCCCGCCCAGGCTTGTATGCTCTCTCTTGCTCACTCAAATAAATTTAAAAAAATCTTTTTTTTTTTAAAGGATCAATTCATCAGCCTCTACTACCTTTCAGTCATCAGAAAACTGAAGAGAGTGAAAAAACAGCTCTTAAAAATACCTTTCTGGGGGCACCTGGGTGGCTCAGTGGGTTAAGCCATTGCCTTCGGCTCAGGTCATGATCTCAGGGTCCTGGGATCAAGTCCCGCATCAGGCTCTCTGCTCAGCAGGGAGCCTGCTTCCCCCCCCCCGCCCGCCTGCCTCTCTGCCTACTCGTGATCTGTCAAATAAATAAATAAATAAATATTTAAAAAAAAAAAACAAAAAACTTTCTGTACACGAAACTTGGACTCCACACCAGGTAACACTACCAGAATCCCAAAAGGGTTCCTCACACCTGGAAACACAAAGGCTGGCTGCTCTCCAGCTACTGTTCTGCCGCCCGTTTCCCTAAACCCTTCACTATCAGCAGAAACCACAGGACAATAAACGGACTTCAACATCTGACTCGCAGGTGGCATCCCTGAAACCTTCAAAGAAAAAGGGCTTCAGAACTGATTTCGAAAGAAAGAGTTGAAAATCATTTCGAAATACCTGAAATACTTGAAACTAGTATCTTATTGTTTTCATTAGGAGCTACGTCTTGGAATCCATTTCAGAAAAAACAACTCCCAGAGAACATTTTTACATCTAATTCTCATTCTAAGAAAAAAATAGCCTAATAAAGGGAAACTTCAACAAAATCAAAACACAGTCACCGAAATGTAGTGTCAAAGAAACCTAGCAGGCATTTCAAGTGTTCCACAACCACCACCTAGCTACTCTCCCAACAGCACCCTGGGAGGACAATGCGCCCCCACTTCTCCACGGCCCCTGCCGCACACGCGCGCACATGCACACGCACGCACACGTACGCACGCACACACACGCACTCCGACAAGGATGAAGGCACGTACCTTGGACTCATAGGGCTCCTCTGAGAGCTCTGCGTAGCCCTCCTTGATGAGGACGTCTCTCACGCTGACAGCGTCCTGGGCCCCCGCACAGCGGTACACGTCCACATGCAGGACACTGTGCACCACAGAGAAGACCCTGACGAGCAGGGCGCAGCCACTCACCAGGGAGGCAAAGCGCCGGCTGGCCGCACCACTCCAGTGCTCACCACACACGAGGGACTTTGCCGACGGGCGCATTTTGCAAATCTTAAATTCCAAGGCCTACAGGACAGAAGAGCATGGCTGAACCGGCTTGGTAAATGAGTGAAACTCTCACCCAAATACTGCTGAAACATGGCCCTGCACATGGGTCTTCACCAACATTCTCCTAAAAATCCTACTAAAAACAATCTTGGTCCATTAACAGATGAGTGGAGAAGGAGGACATGATGTAGACACACAATGGACTGTTACTCAGCCATCAAAAAGGATGTGGTCTTGCCATTTGCAGGATGGAGCTAGACGATATTATGCTAAGTGAAGTAAAAGAAAGACAAACACCGTAGGATTTCCCTTATATGTGGAATCTAGAAAACAAAACAAAAAAAATAAACAAAAAACAGAGAGACAGACCCAAATACAGAGTGGGCTGCCAGAAGGGAGAAGGGCAAAACGGGTGAAGAGGCGTAGGGCATTGAGGCCTCCAGTCCTGGAGCGAACAAGTGCTGGGAGCAAGAGGTGATTGCACGCGGAATGTGGTCGGTGGGACCGTACTCACGCTGCGGGGTCACAGACGGACGGCAGCTACCCCTGTGTGAGCAGAGCTCAGAGTAGAGTTGTGGAATCACTATGCTGAATGTCTGAAACTAACGTCCTATTCTGTGCCAACTATAATAAATACATAAATGATTATATGTATTTTAAAAAAACAATTTGGGGGGTAGATTTCACAAAGTGAGGATGTCATAGGTGAAGAAATTCGACGTTGCTTTTCAACCCGAACAGAAGCTTGGAACGCCTTCTGGACTGTGTCCACACTGACAGAGGCGCGCCGGTACATCTAGCTTGCCCAAGTTCTAGCTGTTTACAACACAACCAAAAATCTCAGAAACAGTGTTTGGAATTAAATTCACTTAAACAGCTACTTTTTTGCTAAGTGTGAAACCACACTCCATATATTTTTAACTCATTCCCCAAACAATATTGACAAAAATATCTGTGGCAATACATTTTTGGAAAAAAGCAGAAATCAAACTTGGCCTGTGTGACCAGGAAAGTCCCTTCTCACTCTGAGACCTGGCCCCTATCCATGCACTGAGGGCAGGCCATGTGACCTCTAGGATCGTTTCTAGCCTCCACGTTCACACCACAGCAGCCTCCCTACCTTACCTGAAATGGGAGTTCAAGAAGTTGACAGGGCATCTCCATCAAAAGATCCAGATCTACATGAGATCTATTACCATAGTCTACAAAGAACACCTAGAGAATAGGGAAAGGACACACTTTAATACGGGGTCAGAATCACACGCCACCCGGCCGGTGGCCTCATGAGGCTCTCTCTAGCTTCGAAACCTGGCAGTCTTACGACAGCAGCTAACATCCACACAGCAGTGCTGGAAGTAATTTTTTACAAGACTAGTTTTCTAACTGAAAGGATTCCACTGAAAATTAGAAAAGGTTTTCCATAAACTGCTCGTTTCCTTCGAGCAACTGGTTACAGAGAAACACGTACCTCGGCAGAATTCCCAGAAACATAAAGGATTTGAGCTCTGAAGTAGCTTTCTTTATCAGAATCAGCAAAAGGAGCCAGACAGACCAGGTCTGGGTGCGGGCGGACAGGCAAGGGCAGCAGGTCCAGCTGGTTGATTTCAGTGGTGAGCTTTCTCAGAATCCCCGAGTTCTTTTCATCAATCCTATATCCCCAAAAGTGTCCCACCTCGACGACCTAAAAAAGAAGGGGAAGAAGCAGAGACGAAATCCAGAAAGGATTTCGATGTGCAGGTTACCAGACGCTCACGCTGCGGGACTGACACTGCATACCGCGCTTCGCAAACTGGATTCCCCAGAACTCAAGTAATTCTACAGGCTTTAACACGTGCTTAAAAACAAGGGGGTTCCCTGGTCCCCACAGTGAGGAAACACATGTCCCAGACCCCTCTCTCGGAGGTATGAGACTTGCCAGCCCACGAACACAGGACAGGCTCTGAAAGGGCACAGAAGGCCGGACTGTGAGACCGTCTGACTGGCGACGGGCCCCAGGGGGTGAGCCCAGCCCACAGACTGCAGGCGCGTGACAGCAGCAAAGGCAGGTCCGGTGTGAATGCAGCCCCGGAAAGAACAGTGACAAGTGGGAGAAGGAGGAGCAGGTGTTCCGTGGAAAAGGGCCTCACTGAGCACCTCCCACCCACGATGCTGGGCCGCTGTGCGGACCCAGGCCGGCTGCAGTCTCCCAATCGGCCGGAGCCCAAGCTTCCGGGTAAAGCCACTGGTGAGTGTAGTCACAGATTCACCAGGAAGCAGGGCTGTATTTGCACTGACACTGTATCTGAATGAGTAAAAGCCACACCTTAAAGAGTAACGAGGCCGAGGCCAGCTCTGCTGACGTGAACTGAATCACACGGCCATACTTCACTAGGCCAGTTAGAACGTTCACGTGTATTATGCTGCCGAAACTAAGGTTTTAGCATTTTAAACGGTACCTAACATTTTAAAAATTATGTTCTGATTCTAGAATGAGATTTGCTTCATTTTGTGTTGTAGCCACATTTCAATTTAACAAGTACAGTAATTCAAACCCACCCACCTTGCCTCGATCACGAAGGTGCTCAGGCTGTGTGAGCACAGGTATACGTGACTAGCTTCACGTCCTCAACCTGACAGTGCTCGATTAAGAAGACAGAAAAGCTCTAACGACTCAACCACAGCATCTCACCTCTGTGACATCAACAGTCAGGAGGAGATCTGTAATTGTCCGGGATCTGTCTAATGTGTTAAAGGAGACTTGCATAGGATCTACTGTCTGCTTCTGGAAGTCCACATTCACCCTAGTTAAACATGATTTAAAAAAAAAAAATAAAAACAAAAATCAGGTATTGAAAGAAAACATGCTTACATATGTGAAGTTAGTGCCCCAACTATTCCATTGCTAATACAAGAAAAGAACATTTTAAGAAAATACCTAACCTGGAGATGACTGATTTGATTTCCTCTCAAATTTTGAGTTTTCAGTGGCTTCCAGAGCTGCCCTGGAGGTCTGTGCACCCCCAGAGTTACACACTCCCCTTCAACAGTGGATTCTAAAAGTCAAGACTCCTGACAGCAGACTGACTTCTAAGGGTACACATTCTAGATCTAACACCAGCAGTGTTTCCTGATTTCCGGCTTCAGAGGGGGCCTTGACCTTTCGGCAAGCACCAGAATCCATGCCCAGCTCAATGCTATTAGAAAAGACATGCATGATTTTCTAATAAACCAAGGGGTTAATCATTCATCTCTTAAAATAATAACATAGTGGGACGCCTGCGTGGCTCAGTGGGTTAAAGCCTCTGCCTTCAGCTCGAGTCATGATCCCAGGGTCCTGGGATGGAGCCCCACATCGGGCTCTCTGCTCCATGGGGAGCTTGCCTCCCCCTCTCTGCCTACTTGTGATCTCTGTCAAATAAATAAATAAAATCTTTAAAAAAAACAATTAAAAGGAGAACCACCATACAATGCAGCAATTCTACTTCCGAGTATGTATCTACGGCGACAAGAACACTACCTCAGAAAGACCCTGCGTATGGCAGCATCAGGTCCAATAACCGAGACACGGAACAACTCCAGCATCCGTCACTGCACGACTGGATAAAGCAGCTGTGCTACACAGGCACTAGAGTATCATTCAGCCATAAAAACAAGAAAGCTACCATTCGCGACAACATGGATAGATCTCGAAGGCAATATGCTAAGTGAAGTAAGTCCGACAAAGACAAACACTGTGTGGTCTCACTTACGTGTGGAATCTAGTTAAAAAAAAAAAAAAAAAAAAAAAACTCCTAGAAAAAGAGATCAGACTTGTGGTACCAGAGGCGGAGGGTGGGAGAAGGGGGTGCAGGAGGAAGACGGTCAAAGATACAAACTTCCAGTTCTGTGGTAACAAGTCCTAGGGACAGACTGTGCAACATGGTGCCTACCGCTACCACTGCTGTAAGACATACAGGACAGTCATTAGGAGAACACTGAGCGTCCTCATCACACGGAGAAGTTTCTGTGTTAGCGGAATACACTGTGCTGGTCATTTCACAGCGTAGGGAAATAAAACCACCTCCTGAACACCTGAAACTTTCACAGCGACAGACGGGGATTACTTTGCAACAGAGCTGAAAAAGCACACAAATGAAAAGAGCACCAAGGTTCAGAGAGGCCGAGGATGTGCTTAAGTACACACAGCCAGGAGGTGAGGAAACCAGGGCCCGGGCTGCGTGTGTGAGCACAAGCGAGGCGCAGGTGAACACGGCCTCTGACCCCATGAGAGCAGGCGGCCAGGGCCCCACGCGGCCGGCCCCCGGGGTACCTGGCGCTTCTGAGCTGCGAGACAGCCCCGCCTTGCACCTTCCCTTCGATCTCCTCTGCGGAGTGCACGTTCAGCTCCAGGGAGACTTTCAGCTGAGACATCTTAATGGCCATATACACTGCAGGAAGGGTTTTAAACCTCTCTGTTGGGTTACGTGAAAACTCCACAAAGGCTCTGCTCCACAAAGAGAAAGAAAAAAATTAGTTGATCGGGCATCTGGGAAAAAGGAACTAAGTGCACATTAATCTCTCTCAAGACTAGCTGGAAATTTTTAGCTCTACCTCCCCTTGAAATACCAGTAATTCTTCATTCTATAATTAACCAAGAAGGGTTTCCCTAAATGAAATTACTTAAGAGAAATGAAAATTACAATGATGCACCATTAGAGTAAAACCAGGGATCAGCCTTCTACAAAGGCGGGTAACGCAGAATAAACACCAACACTAATGAGATTTTCAGCTACAGAATCTTAATTCTCAAAATGAACACAGGAAGACAGCTTTTTGAGTTTTGAGGGTTTTTCTACTTTACTTTAAAATAAAACACAGAAAGACAAAAGCACACAAGTGAGGTCAGTGATCTCTGTGGTCTCCCTCTATAAACCCCATCAAGTTTACCACCAGTCGTGCTGATGACGCCCCACGCCACCCCCCAGATCCCTTTCTCTGGGAGATGAGAACCAAGCAGGCACGGGGTGTCTGCTGGGCATTTCCCGGTATAAAGAAAGCAAGCTTCAAGTTCACATTTGCTTGTACATGAACGCTCCTGGGTCAAAACATCACACTCACGCAAACAGACCTATGACTCCGACAAGCACCGGCATGGAAATGTGTACCCTGAGCCCTGGAAAGGACACACCCCGTGAAGAGCGTCCAGCAGGTCAGAGAGGCAGCCCGGCCCCTAACTGTTCCGGCCTACCGGTGTGTGTGTCCCTGCGCCTCACTTCTCTGCAGGGACCTCGGGCTCTCCTCTGCCCTCCGCCCTCCTAAACCCGCCCCCTGGTGGACTCCCTGTTGAGCGTGCGCACCTTCCCCGGGTCTGTGCCCAGCCTGCTCACGCACCCCCACCCCATCATGTCAGCCTTCTCTAGAGGGCTCCTAAGCCCCTCCTCAGAAGCAGTTTCTATTGCACTCAAGACCCCACTTCCATAGTGCTCAGCTTGCAGCAGAACCCCGAAGTCCCGCTGGGACCCCCCATACCTCCCCCCACCCCGGAGTGGGCTCCTCCCAGCCCTTCTCTGGACAATGCAGTCTCGAAGACCTGCCCTCCTGGGCCCTCCTCTCTTCTTTGTCCTGCACAGGCCATCAACAGCCAAACCCAAGAGAGCTCGGTCTCACCTGTCACCTCCTTTGTTTCCAATGTTGCCTCTGGTTTAGGTGACCACGTCGTTTAGATAACTCATCGTTCCCTGACCAAGTACCACAAAACAGCACAGCTCGGAACACTCGGGGGTCTCCACACACCCATCTACTCATGCCCACACTGATCAGGCAGCTATGAAGGACCCCCACCACCCAGACCTAACACAAAGCCAGCCACTGGCAAAAAGGCCTCCGGCTGTGCCTCGCACACAACCCACACTCTCCAAAGTCACAACTGGGTTCACGCTGGGCTCCTACAGGGTCAGCACCCCCTCCTGCCCCGCCAGCCCCTCTGCTGTCCACCTCACACACCTCCTTAGGAAGTCCCAGTGAATGCTACTGCTCCTGAGGCCAGGAAAGAAGGTACTCTGACCACCTGGGCCTCTCCCACGACATTTCACGACAGGCCATCATCTACAGCACCCCACAACAGGGTCGAAACTTCATATGGGAGGAAACGGTACATCCTTATACTTGCTACCTGTGCTCGGATGCCCTTCACACCTGACACAGGCTCCCTGCTCCCGCAGGCCCTGCATGGTCCCAGAAGGAACACAGCCTTTACTCCATCCAACAGCGACCCACGTCACTGCCTTTGAACGCTCGGTGTGCGAGAACTGCTCCTGGCACGCCCAGAACAACACCGCTCCTTCTCCAGGGAGCTGCCAGGACATTGCCGCGCTGACTAAAAAGCCAGAAATACAAGGAACCATGCAAAATAGATTCGAAATCCCTCCAACAAAGGCTTAGACAGGAAGCACGTGAAACAAACACAGGATCTACCCCACGATGCAGATCCGCAAGAGACCAGACTGCCGGCCGCTCGAGCCGTCAGAGCACGCCCGCCGCGACGGGAACCTCAGCAGCCCAGGCAGACAGACTTGCAGCGTTCGGCAAAGAGAACTTCACCATGAGTCCAGTGTCAAAGAAGTGATTTTGTAAATGTGATCAAGAATTTCCATGTAATCTGTATTAGGATATTTGAAAAAATAGAGACATTATAAGCTTAATTAGTTCAATCGGTAACAGTTGTTAAAAGAACTTAGGAAGACTTCCTCAGGCTGTGACTTTGCCATGCGAGCACACACGGGGCCGGGGAAACACACGCAGCGTACCAAGAACATCAAATATCAAATCATAGGAACAGAACTTAAAATGTCTGAGGAAATTAACCCAAATAGAAAAGGGACTGAATATGCTCCGCGTGCATTACTGGACATCGGTCAAGACAAGAATGCACGTGTTTCTTACTCCCTAGATTTACAAAGTCTTATAAATGAAATAGTTTATAGAACATCAGAACAAAGTTTCTAACTGAAAACTAAAATTCAATTTAAAACTGTAAATAGTCCTTTCTGCACATCAGCAGTCCCTCTTGGAAATAAAAATTCAAAGTGATACTTCAAAACATGCCATCTCGTCTCCCGTATCTGCAACTAAAACACATGCGATGCGACTGGGTTTTCGCAGGAGTTGTCTTCCAGAAATGCGAGCAGATAAACCCTACTCTGGGGCGTCTCTATGACCAAGAATGTGACATAGCGCTAAGGACACCCCATGAAAACCTAAGGACAGGCTCACGCTCCAAGCACCCGCCCCAGCACCACACGGCACCACCGAGCCTTCCTGTATCAGACCACCAAGCTCCCAGCTTAGCTCCTCTAGGAGCTCCCTTGGTTGAAAAAAAGGATACATCAGTGCAGACAAGATAAACCCAAGCTGTGTTGTGAGGCCATGCGGAGTGGCCTGGATAGGGACCCATCTCCGCAAGCACTCGGTGTTAAGATTTAGTTCCTGCAAACACCGAACACGTGATGGCCTTTCATAATGGCAGCTGCTACGAAACACGCGACTTACTTTGCACCATCGAAGACGATGGATTTGACTTGACCACACTGTCGGAAGAGAGACTGCAGCTGTTTGTAGTAGAGAAATCCGTAGGGCGGGATGTGCTTCAGCTGTAACACATGGGGCAGCGTTCGTCAGAGCAGACATCGCAGCGAACACAGAACACAACAGCGAACCCAATAGTTACAGTGTCCGTGAGCTAAGGCAGCTGCACATTAGCTCACAAAAACGAAATCCACGGTCTGTAACCCTAAGACGGAGACTCTATGGTTAGGTATATTAAATGACTGAAGACCTTTACGTTATAACTAAATTTTAATGACAAGTATATGTTAAATAAAAGATAATTCTTTCTCTGTTAAAATAATCCAAAATCCAACACAGAAAAACAAAGAGCTGTGTTTTATTTGAGCTTCAAGTAAGCAAGCTGACTAAATGCAACTCTTTAAAAGAATCTTTCTGCGTAAGGAGTAGGGGTTCTAGGGGGAGCACAGGTCAGGGACGGGGCGCGCCCACCATCACAGCCGGAAATGAAGCGCACTGAGCCTCAGCAGACCCTCCCAGCCCCCAAGGCTCGCTCTCTGCCTTCTGTCCCAGTGACTCCTTTCCAGGCTCTGGCAGAAAACCTGAGGCCCCGGCCCCACGAGAGAGGCTCTGAGCTGTCTTGGCGAGTCTCCCGAGACAAAGGACGGAGCCGCCCTGGGACTCAACCCCCCGCAGAAATAAGCTGATGGTAAACCCCCGCCGCGCCCCGCCTCGAGGGGTCAGTGCGAGGCTCAGAGAAGCACATCACAGAGGGCATCTCAGGCAAGCGCTGGGTCAGTACCAGCTCCAGTCTGGCTTCTACTCACAGGGGAGACAAGTTTGTGGCCCCCAGAGCGCCTAGCGAGCAGGCAGCCTCGTGGATGACAGAAACAAGCACGGCTCCGGGTCTGAGGAGAATCCTGAGGATCCTTCTCCAGCGGCACAGGGCAGCGGAGAGCACCACGAGGGCTTCGAGGAAGCCAAGCAAAGGAGCCTGGTCGGCCCTGAAGGTCACAGGGCAGGGTCCCCAGCAGCGATACAAGGCCAACGACCACCTTGTAAACGAAACCCCCGCCCCTGGATTGTGAGGCGCATCTCCGCGGCTGGTCTCCAGCCTGAGCGCCAGCAGCTTCGAGGCCCTTCAAAGATCTGCACAGCGCACAGGTCATCCGCGACCCCCGACCCGTGCACCCCGACCCACGCACCCCCTCTCCTCGGGAACCGTGGGCACTTCCACAACGACAGGGAAAGCTGGCACATGGGGCGCTTACTGCACGCCAGCCCGTCTGCCGAGGGCTTCCCCTGCCGCTGTCAGGGACACCAAGGGAACCGAGAAGACGGACAGAAGCGCAGGCCCCACACGCTTCGTTCCGGGTGTGTGTCCTGAGGTCGACGTGCGCTCAGGTTTACACGAACGCCTGTGGCGGATCAGAGTCACTGAAAACACGTGTTCTCTGAATACTCCTTTCCAGGCCATTCCTTCTAGTCCAGACTCTGGGGCACGGGGCCCTCACATATGAATTTAAAAATACCCACTCTCTAGCCAATTCTACTAGAATACGTTCAAGCCTGGGGATGACAGTTTAAATCCCAGTACAAAGCTGCCAACCGGTAACACTGTACTTTGTGTGAAAGGAAATTGTTAGCTCAAAGTTCTTAAACTCAGGGAGAAGTGTCCTAAATCCTTCAAAACAGCACATGATCAATCGGCATTGGTCACAAATATTTAATTTCTCAAGGCTTTCTTTCAAGGGCAGGTCTGCAAAATAGGAAGCCAAACTGAGGAGCAAGTAGATGTCTGTGAAAAGGTCAAATGAGCCATAATATTCACTTTAGGGGGAAGAAAAACCCACCAGGTCCCTATAAAAGTGGGATCCCCGGAAGGGATATGGCGCTCGCGACAGCCACACAGAAGGGGAGCCCCTACCACGACAGTGGTCTTCGGGTCTTTGCCGGCCAGCTCCCTCACCGCCATCTCCTCGTCAGGCTGCCCGAACGCGAAGTAATTGGGGTAGAAAGCGCCGGCCAACACCACCTGGGGGAGGAGTAGACTTTCATGAAGCGGCAACATGACTTGTGGGTCTGTCTCAGCGGTCCGCTGACCTCTTCCCAGAACGACGTCCCAAACATCTGGAAGCTGAGGAGGATTTATATAAATACGCTAGAGCTTCCGCAAATCAAGCGGAAGGTCACAATTCTGATTATCTCACCGTCACCAACAGAAGCACTCCGGACATGTCCCTCCTTGAGGAGCCCGTCTCAAGGGAAGCTTAGGAAGCAGTGGCGAGCTGAGTGACAGCACGAGTGACGGCACACGCTCTCCCACCCGCTGTGTGACACACTCACCTCTGCGGGCCGGCGCCTCCCCAGACTCCGAGCGGCACACCCAGTGCGCACTTCCACACAGCATTCTGCAAACAGTCCCTCCTCCGTCAAAACACACCCTCCTGCACATACACTCAGGGACGACTCTCCCCAGCCGCAAAGCAACTTGACATCCAGAAAACACCATCCTCCAGCACCAGTTCGTTCACAGACACCCGCCTGCGACCCAATGCCGCCTGCTACTGTGGACAGACAGGGTCCTGCTCGGAACCCGGAAGCAGAAGCCCCTTCGTGGGACATGCTTCCCTCTACACAATCCCTATAAGGTCCCATCCAACAAGCTGGCCTGATCCCACCCTCTAAAGTTAGTATTTCCAGTGTAAGAGAAGAGCTACATATGCTGAGTTATATTAAGAACATTCTTAGTATCTTAAAAGCCAGAACGCAAGGATGTGTCCTAAAGCACATCAGCAGCTGGTGGGCTACAGAATGCGCCCCTGCGGACAGCACTGGGCTGGAGGGCCAGCTCCGGGACGTGCTGAACTTGAACTATGCTCTCCCCCAACGCAGCGTGAACATCATGGGCCTAAGATCTCTCGAGGCCTGACTCGCAACAGAAAGAAGGCATGGGCACTTTTACCACCATGGCGGTGGGCGAAGAGAAAGGATGAGAACAGACGTCCAGTGGCCCCAGCGCACCTGCAAGATGAACCGCTGCTTGTACGTGTACTCCTGGTCCATGACGGGCCGCCGGGGCTCAACGTGCATGTTGAACTGGGAGACCCTGTTCTTCAGCTCTTCATACAACTCGGCCACCTAAGGAAACATGCCGAAATGGGGTATCTCAAAGGCCTTGAGCCACGCAGAGTAATGAACACACTGGAAAACAAGTGCACAAGGGGAAGACACACGTTTACAGGATTCAACACTGTATTTATTAAGAGTCACCTTATTAAAGGTGAATGAGTAAGAAATGGAAAGGATCTGGGTGCCTGGGGGGCTCAGTCGGTTAAGTGTCTGCCTCCAGCTCAGGTCATGATCTCGGGTCCGGGGATCGAGTCCCACGTCAGGCTCCCTGCTCAGCAGGGAGCCTGCTTCTCCCTCTCCCACTCCCCGCCTGCTTGTGTTCCCTCTCTTGTTGTCTCTGTCAAATAAATAACTAAAATCTTTAAAAAAACAAAAAGGAAATGGAAAGGACGCTCAGTGTGACACTAACAGAAAATACCAGGACACACGGCAGTGCGCACTCCACGGCCCCGTCTGTAAGTGCAGGCGCGCACGTGCACACACACACACACACACACACACACACACACACGCTACAAACACGTACCCACAATGCCTCTGGGCATCACAAGAGCAAGTGACTAGAACATACCCTCTGCTTTTAAGTCCTTTACACACCTCAAAACCCCCTCCCGGACATGTCCTGCTGCTGTGATTAAAAACAAGCCGAGAACAGGAGCACCCGAGTGGCACAGTCAGTTCAGTGTCCGACTCTTGATTTTGGCTCAGGTCACGGTCTCACGGTCGTGAGATGGAGCCCCACATCAGGCCCCACAATCAGCGCACAGTCTGCTGCGAAGCCTTCCTCTCCCTCTGCCCCTCCCCACATGTTCTCTCTCCCACAAATGAACAAAATCTTAAAACAAAACAAAACCAAAAAAAACAAGCTGAGAGCAAACCGGGCTGCTGGAGGAACATGGGTAGGGGGTGGGCACTGCAGAGCGCACTGTTGGGATGAGCACCCGGTGGCGAGTGATCACTAAATTCTACTCCTGAAACCAATATTACGTTGGGTGTTAACTAACAAGAATCCAAATAAAAAACAAAAACAAAAAAACCCAAGCCCAAGTGACCAAACGTTCAACAGCTGCTCTGAACAAAATCCCCCAGTTGCAATAAAAACCATTTCCCACAAAACCTCAAACTTCATAGCATACATAAGAGCACACAACCCCCAACACCTATAAATTGTTCATAAACTAATTTACCACAAAATTATCTCAATAAACTAAAGTAAAAACCCTACAAGCCACAGGTGTGACCATTAACTGGAAAACAACTAAAAAGAACTGGAAAGACAGAAAAATTTATTTTTTTTAAAGATTTTATTTATTTAATCACTTCTCGGCCTTTTGGCTAAGATCAAGTGAAGATTTTATTTACGTGACAGAGATCACGAGCAGGCAGAGAGGCAGGTAGAGAGAGAGGAGGAAGCAGGCTCCCCGCTGAGCAGAAAACCCGATGTGGGGCTCGATCCCAGGACCATGCTCCGAGCCGAAGGCAGAGGTTTAACCCACTGAGCCACCCAGGCGCCCCAAGACAGAAAAATTTAAAAGCCATGACCTCGGAGGAGGTGGGGAAAACCGGGAACATGAAGGAAGGGCCAAGACTGTCACCCACATGTCAGCCTGTGCACTTCCGTGTGCCTGAAACCTTTCTTAAGGCTGTTGTCACATAGGACTTCTCTAGTTAAAAATCAGTTTAAAAGTATGCAAGTCAATTTTTCTTATCAAAATGCAAAAAATCTGAAATGAACCACAGAACAAGATATCTAAAAATAAAAATATTTCTAAGTGAAAACTCAAATATCCTACTTAAAAACTCTTCAGTCAAGGAGGAAACAGACACTAAAAAGAGACAGGAGTAACAATGATCCCTACTTACCAAAATCAATGGGATGTGACCCCATTGTGCACAAGAAAATACATAGCTTTAAATGCTTTTAACTAGAAAAACTGGGAAATATTAACGGTTTAAATATTCATCTCAGGAAGACTAAAATACTAAGCCAAGAGACAAAGAACTAATTAACAGAAACAAGCAAAAATCAATTAAAATCCTCTCCCTTTCCCTTCCCCCAAGAAACCCTACATCGGAGACCAATGAAGCCAAGAGCCAGCCCTCTGAACCAGAGCAGGCACGCACCGGAGCACGTACGCACCGGAGCACGCATGCACCGGAGCACTGCACGCACCGGAGCAGGCACGCACCGGAGCACGCAGCCAAGGGCCAACCCAGCAGGCCCGGCTGTCCACAGCGGCACAGTCCACGGCCAGGTTCCAGGTCTGGTTGCCGGGATACAGCCTCTCAGGCCCTGGAACACGGCAGCACAGAAGAGTGTCCTGGCGGCTGAGGCCTTGGGGCTGACTCGCAGCAGGCGGCAGCGGCAGGATTTAGGGTGGAGGCCCGGCGCCACCCTGAGCCAGCACGAGTTCTCCAGGAGCGGACAACCACGTAACTGGGGTCAGCTCTGCGGGCACCCCAGGCCTACATAACCACCCCCCAGTAAAACCCTGGACACCAAGGCCCGAGTGGGCCTCCCCGGCAAGCAATACCGCATGTCGGCTGTCACCATGGCTGCTGGCAGAGCTGGCCACACCCGCAAACCCACAGGGGAGACAATGGAAGCCTTGCATGTGTGTCATCTGGACGTCTCCCCGTGTGCCTTTCTCTTTTTTAAGATTTTACTTATTTGACAGAAAGAGAGACAGCGAGAGAGGGAACACAAGCAGGGGGAGAGGGAGAAGCAGGCCTCCGGACGAACAGGGAGCCCGATGTGGGGCTCGATCCCAGGACCCTGGGCTCATGACCTGAGCTGAAGGCAGACGCTTAATGACTGAGCCACCCAGGCGCCCTCCCCTTGTGCCTTTCACCTTTGCTCATTTTAACCTGTATCCCTTAGCTCTAATAAACTATAACCGGGAGTAGAAAAGCTTTTCTGAGATCTGAAAGTCTTTCTAGCCAATCACTGAGCCGAGGGTGGTCTCGGGGAACCCCTGAACACACAAATCTAATCAAGAATCTGAGAGGGCACAAGTACACAATATTCAGAATGAGCAAATGATTTTATCACTTTTGAAATTATAAAAACACGTGTACTCTATATCATACTTAAACACGCATATTCATAACAGCTAAAATTAACAAGTCAGGAAACGACAGATGCTGGCGAAGATGTGGAGAAAGGGGAGCCCTCCTGCACTGTTGGTGGGAATGCAAGCTGGTGTGGCCAGTCTGGAAAACAGCATGGAGGTTCCTCAAAAAGTTGAAAATAGAGCTACCCTACCACCCCACAATCGCACTACTGGGTATTTACCTTAAAGATACAAACGTAATGATCCTAAGGGGAACGTGCACCCGAATGTTTATAGCAGCAAAGTCCACAATAGCCAAACTATGGAAAGAACCTAGATGTCCATCAACAGATGAATGGATACAGAAGAGGTGGTATATATACACAATGGAATACTATGCAGCCATCAAAAGAAATGAAATCTTGGCATTTGTGATGACGTGGATGGAACTAGAGGGTATTATGCTGAGTGAAGTAAGTCAAGTGGAGAAAGACAATTATTATATGATCTCCCTGATATAAAGAAGTGGAGATGCAACGTGGGGGGCTTGGGGGGTAGGAAAAGAATAAATGAAACAAGATGGGATCGGGAGGGAGACAAACCATAACAGACTCTTAATCTCACAAAACAAACTGAGGGGGGCCGGGGGGAGGGGGGTAGGGAGAGGATGGTTGGGTTATGGACACTGGGGAGGGTATGTGCTATGGTCAGTGCTGTGAAGTGTGTAAACCTGGCGATTCACAGACCCGTACCCCTGGGGCTAGTAATACATTATATATTAATTTTAAAAATTAAAAAAAAATACATACATTTGCATAAAAAGCAAAAAATGCATATTCATGAATTGCATACCATGAAAACTGCATCATGAACACGTGCCACGGACACAGACCCCACAGGAGGTGGCGCGCTCACCACCATGCTGCCCGGCCCGGGCACTGCACAAATACCCACAGAACTCACGACTCACCTCTCGGATTCTCTTGATCTGAATGTAATTTAACCGCCCCCAGTCAAGTTCATCCTTTAAATAAAGGCACAACACAATGTTAATGAACAAATTATAGTGAAATGTGGCTACCATAACACATCTACGTCATCAGAATTGTAAGTCAAAAAGAACATGGACACCAACCAGAGAAAAACCATGGCTGACTTTTTAAAAGGAAGCTTTAACCTTAACATAAGTAGCTATTCTAATGGTACCTCTAGACTTGGCAAATCTAAACACACAAACCCATCAACAGTCTTTTGGAACTAATCAGTTTAGAAGGAGAACAAAACCTGACCCAAAAAAAGGAGGCCTACATGTTGAATTCTCTAAAACTGAGCTGACAGCACCAAAAGTAAAGGCTTCAGAGTTCTCAGCTGGGAACGGATGCCCCGAGGTCCACACCCACAGGCACGAAGCACTGGCAGCCAAGGGGGCTCCTGACCCTACGGAGGACCACGGGGGCTTGGAGGCGGAAGGCCAACCACACAGCCGGCCTCAGCCGCAGGCCCCAGGAGCCGCCCCTGCGAGGGTCCACTGCCGGCAAAGCAGGCTCTTTGCCCTTGGACGGCCTGTGCACTGCTACAGCCTTGCCCTTCTGAGGACAGGCTTGGCGCTCTCCTGTGTCCCCTGCGGGGATCAGGCCAAGAAAAGAACCCTTGGAGAGTCTCCCCGGGTCACTTACAACCGGCTACAAGTGAAGGAAACAGCTAACCAACCTTCGGGTGCCGCAGCTCTCCTCTCTGTCTGCAAGTCTGCCAAGCCTAAAAACCAATGACCCCATTGCAGAAACAATTTATTATTAGCTGATTAAAAATTTTTAAAGTCTCATTTCAACACATTTTGACCGCAGAAAACTTACAAATTTAATTTTTTCCAATCAATTTCATAAAATCGGACTCTCACCCCCATTTACTTCTTCCAACATGGTCTTTCATGTTGGACAGCAGCAAGCCTCACAGTGTTTTCAGCAGAGACAGGGCGAGGGCAGGAAAATGGACTAACAACCCGTGGCTGGCGTTTCCGCGCTCACACCGAGATTACTTACTTTAAACGCTTCAACGAGTGCAATACAGTCGCTCTTACTATTGCCAGAGAAATTCACCTTGTTCCTACAAAGAGATAACAAACAGCGTCATGCGATACCGTTAGAACAAACTGACTTTAAAAAATACGAATTTTACGTACCTGTATCCATCAAGATGCTGCCTAAACGGCATTGCAAAAAAATTCTTCAAAGAAAGAGCTGCCGCTAGCAACAGAAAAACAAAGACGAGGCGAGGTCGTTGGAGTGGCACTCCAGCCCCTTCCAGCAAGCTCCCATGGGCTCACACTTACCTATAATAAGACATTCGTCCAGACATCCAAATACGTGTCCGAGGACTATGAGTTTACCGAGCTGCTGATTAACAGGAAGCTGGGCTAGAACTCTTCCCAAGAAGGTCAGTTCCCCGTCATGGGGGTTCTCATCTTCTCTCTGCCCACTCACGGCCAGCGCCCCAACCTTGACGAAATAAATTAGCCTTGTTAGCAAGCACTGATGACTTCTTGCTCTTTTTTCCCTTAAGGCAGGGAGTCTAAACAGGGAATGAAGACCAAATTCTGGTGATTAAGATTCTAAAAGATATCTAAATTGACTTATGAAAACTTAATGCTACCAAAAAGTTCTTTTAATTTACTCTTAGGAGGTTAGAATACATCTCATTATTTTTTAAAAGGGTGACGCCGCGAGGTGACACTACTCGCACTGTAACACACATGGCCTGCACCATACGGAACCAAACGCCTAACTCCGCACCGTGGTCGCTCACGATGCCACGGTGGGGAGCAACTTCCTTAACGTGACGAAGTCTATTTCACAGAAACCCACACAGGAATCAAAATAAAGGCAAATGCCAGAGCAGCCCAACTTCGAGGCCAATGCAGGGGAGGCAATGCAGTTTCCAGCAAGGGAAGGAGACGGAACCGCAGGGAGAGAGCGCAGAAGCTGACGGCCCCACAGGCAGACGCCGCCTGCCCCAGGAATCCCCGGGCATCTGCCTATAACCACTCCGCTCAGACCCTCAGCACGCGGCCTCCGCAGAAGAGAGGCACAGACAGCGTTTGGCAGCAATGACTCCGATGCACAGGGAGGTGGATTCCAGAGAGCCGTTGAGCAGCAGCGCACGGGTCTCCCCCCCACACACACACTCGCGGGAACCCTGCGCACAGCCAGCGGGGAGGGGGGAAGCCACAGAAGGCTGAGAGCCTTGAGCCTCGGCAGGACAGCTAACAAACCTGGAGCAGACAGCAGGTGTGGAGTCTGTAACCACCAAGCGGCATCACAACACGTGCTTTTCCTAGCAAAGGCCTACTATTCACGACAACCAAAATACTTTAAAGATCTCCACATCACAAAACTTCTAAAATTTACCCAACAAAATCTTAGCTTTTCCCAACACTGATGTACATCAGACAGACGTACCTCCTTTAGCAGAAGGATGGTTCGTTCGATGTCACTCAGACTCGGCGGAGAAAGGGCAGTTGCCAGCAAAGCTCTTGGTTCACCCATGTCCAACAATTTCACTTTCAATATTGTGCTTCCCAATGGACAACGCTGAAAAGAGCAAAATTTAGAAATAATAAAATAACAAAATAATTAATCTACCCGCATGACTTCAGACACAGAAGCAGAAGAGAGGAGGAGAGAAAAATAAGAAAAACCGAAGATGGAGAGAGAGGGGACGAGAGAAGAAGAAAGAGCAGGAGAGAGACAAGAGGAGGAGACAGACAGAGGGGAGGGAGACGAGTGGGAGAGACATGGAGGGGAGCTGGCAGAGACTTAGTAGGAAGAGGGAGGAGACACAGACGGGGAGGGAGAAGAGTGGGGAGACAGACAGATGTGGGAGGAAGAAAAGTGGGAGAGAGACAGATGGAGGAGGGAGATGGGGAGAGAAACAGACGGGGTGGGGAGAGGAAGGAGAGAGATAGACAGGAGGGAGAAGTGGGGGAGAGACAGATGGGGGAGGGAGATGATGGGGGACAGAGTAGATGGGGAAAGAGACAGGGCTACGGGGGAGAAGAGGAAGGAGAGAGAAAGACAGGGGAGGGAAAAGAGCGGGGAGAAAGATGGAGGAGGGAGAAGAGGTGGGAGAGAGACAGGGGTGGGCAGGGGAGAAGAGAAATGGGGGAAGGGGTGGGAAGAGAAAAGGCAGAGAAAGACGAAGCAGAGAAGGATGGAGAGAGGAGAGGAGAGACAGAGAAAAGGAAGCAAGCAGCCAATCCCACGTCCGTGAGCTATACGCGGGCTGTGGAGCCCAGAGGCGCGAGGAACCACTCCTCCCATGAGAAACGGAACCTGCATGTAAAGTCCTAGCATAGTGCCCAGGGCTAAGTGCATGGCCAGCCAGCACTGTGATTAGAGACTGGTTTGGTCAGATGACTTTTCTGGAGTCAAAATTATAGAACACCTAAGATTATATTACTTAGACGATTCAGTAAAGCTCTGTCTACAAAAAATAAACTTTGAAAATGACCAGAGTATTACCAGCATCTCCGGAACGACGTGGTCGGGGATGGAGCTGTCCCAGAAATCCTTGTGAACCAGCCGGTAACAGTACCCTTTGGATACTCGCCCTGCGCGGCCTGCAAAGGGGACGCATCCAAGCACCATGTGACATGAATCACTTGAACATTAGCCTAAATATGTAAGAATAACTACGAAATATTAAAGAAAACCTCTGTTATCTCCTAGCAGACCAGGTCAGTTAGTGCTTTGGAATAAATCGGTGTCACAAGGCCTCCTACAGGAAGATTGCGTGCGGACGTCAACTCTACAGCGTAAGATCCAATGCGTATCTCTAAACCAGCGTCGGTTCCGATACGCAATGGAAATCAAAACATCTCAAATACAAGACGCTTCCTTCCAATGCCAAGCTCATAGTAAGAAGTCCAAGCTGGAGGGAGCGGGTGCAGCCCCCCCCAACCCCCGAGTGGCAGGGCTGGGCTATGCCTTGGGCTCTCCGCGATGGCCATCTGTCCCTCAGGCCCGAGAAAAGGCAACTGTCACGACAGCTGCTTCACACGAGATGAGGGATCCCAGCCACACAGCTCAGAGCCAGGCCTGGCCCTCACACGCCACCATTCCATGACTCTTCTCTTACCGTTGTATTGCTTATGGAGTAAAAACTCCTTTATCCCAAAACATAGTAAAATCTGCCAAGGAGACAGAACGGGTTCAGGGGGAGGGGTGTCCCGAATACATCTCCAGCTTGAAAAAACGGGGCAGCGCAGAAAGGCGCTTTCTTTCCCCACGTGGAGTCAGGAAAGATGGAGGGGGCGTGTGGGCTCCTGCCCCCATCTATCGGGGTAGGTCCCCTCCCCGCCCGGGAACTCGAGTGGAGAGCCCAGACTTCGGCACTGCCACCACCCCCGGCCTGCACCTAGCTGCACACGCAGGACCCTCTAAGAAGAAAACTCCAAGGTAATGACCAAAAACAAAAGCAAAAACAACTCCTAGAACCAATTAATGACTTTGGCAAAGTCACAGAATAGAAGATTGACACACAAAAGTCGATCACATTTCTACACCTCGGTAATGAACATGTAAAAACCGAAATTAAAAATGCAATGCTGGGCACCTGGGGGCTCAGTCAGTCCAGCATCTACCGATACAGCCCCAAGTCCACGGCCCATCGAGCTCCCTGCTCAGCGGGGACTCTGCTTCTCCCTCTCCCTCTGCCCCCCTCCCCCGCTCCTGCTCTCTCTCAGATAAATCAATGAACTCTTTTTTAAAAAGGCAATGCCATTTACAATCATCACTCTGGGTAAAATTAAACACTTGGGATCTCTATGCTGGAAACAAGGCATCGCTCAGTAAAGACACCGAAGACGACCTCCATATACGGAGACACGCGCACTGCGCTCACGGCGGGAAGACCCCACAGAACAAATCCGCCCCTTTCTGCACGACCCGACCCACGGGTGTAACAGAGCTGCCAGCAAACTCACAGGACGGCACTTCTGGAGACCTAGACAAGCACACTCTAAAATCCATACAGAGGACAAAGTAGAACAAGCCCAATGGTCTTAAAAGTAAAGAATAAAGCAGGAGGAACCCGTCACTTTTAGGCGAGTCCCACTTTGAGCAGTGCTGCCGACAGGGAGACGCGTACGCTGGGGTCCCACAGGACGGACAGCCACAAGCGTGCCCCGGGAACCTCATCAGGTGCAGAAGCCACTCCGTGGGGAAATTCCGTGGCGCTGAAACCAGTGGACATCCACAGGCAAAGACATGAACCTCACCCCAAACCTCACAGAGTAATTACAAAATGATTCAAATGGGTCACGGCCCTAAACACAGAGCATGCAGCTGGAAGGCGCAGAGCAGCAAAGCGGGGGAGCCCCTGGCACGCCGGGCGAGGGGGGCTCCGGGCTGGGCGCCCGCGCACACGCTGCAGACGCCGGCCAAGCGCTCGAAGGCTCTCTGAACTCGGCCTGCAGCTTCTCGGAGGACAAAGAATTTTTAGTACAGAAATTTTGAAAACACAGAAAAGCAGACCAAGGCCAAAACTCCTATAATCTCAAGACTTCCCCAACGACAATCCCTCCCACATCTCCATGTGTTTCTTTCTAGTCATTTCTTCTGTGCGTGGGTTTTCGTCCAGGGGGGCAGTTCTGGGTGGGGAGGGGTGTAACTCCACTTGCGGCTTTCCCACGGTGCCCAAGCAGATGCTGCTCCTGCCCAGACGCGGGGGCGTGCCGTCCCAGGGGCGGCAGCAGGGGCGCATATTCCCGACGCGGCCGGAGCACCCCCTGTCCGTGGGCCAGGGCAGCCCAGACAGCCGCTCCTCTGGGTCTCAGCTGCGCCACTGGACACGAGGGTGTCAGCCCGGACTACGTCACAGGGCGGGACGAGGACCAAACGGGGTCACATCAAACACTCAGAACCGTGCCCGGCACCTGGTAAGCACTCAGTAACTGTCCCTCTCCTGCATCTGTGACGCAGAAGCGTCACTGCCCCACAGGTATTAGGGGCTGGCCCATCACCCACCCTCCCAGGACGTTCTCCAACAAAACACAAGCCACTGCTCGGTCCCTGCCAAGAACTCTGTCCCCTGGAACCCGCCCCCTCCGCCCAGGAGACAGCAGCAACCTGTCCAAGCGCATCACAGCTGCACGTCCACTGTGGCTAAAGCCCTCCTGCCCCGGAGAGACAGATGTGTCCGCACCCTCGGCCCCCAGGGAAGCAGCACGCCCACGCCACACAGACACTGAGCCCACTGCGGAACTGGTTTATGAAAAACATCCAGAGAAGGATCCAAACTCAGAGAGAAGTCAAAGGAAGGATTCCCAGAAGTTCATTAAAAATTATAAAAATTAACTCAGTCTCCGTAAGTCTTCCCCAAACACTTTTGCATTCGCTGCAAAAAACCAGTAGTGCTGGGATGAGCAGATGCTTCTCCGCTGCATACAAACCCTGGCACCTCATTCCAAGGACGAACGGAGAGCCGCAGGTTTAAAGGAGGAGTCTGACGCGCTGTCAGTATTGCTTAAAAGTTAGAACCGGTTCCGGTCAAGAAAGTATCAGCGTAAGAGTGAAAAGGACAAAGACCAAACACGTTCAAAGACACGGGAATGTGCCCCCATTCGTTTGAGCGCGAACACCTTACCTTTCCTCTGGTCGCAGCTGGTTTTGGAGGCCCAACTCAACCGCAGACTCTGATAATTCGTATCTTCATCGCAAACCAGAGTTCTAGTCAAACAAAAATCTATAACTGTCATTTTAAAAAAAGGAATGTAAACATCATGCTGACACAAAATGCACGTCATAATCACAATACACAGTGAGAAAGCAACACAAAACGCGCAGTCTTTAGAATCCGTGCACGTACGGAAGCCTCTGGAAATGCGCGGGCCACTCCCACCGCCCAGGCTCACGTTCTTTCCTCTAGGGACTGGGAGCCTTCAGAGAGAAAGGACGAGAGCCCCGTGGATCCAGCGCGCCATGCAAGAGCCCGTCTGGACGGCACCCACTAGAGCGTGGCCAAAAGGACACAGGACAACAGCACCGGGGTGCAGGGGCTCAAATCTGGACCGAAGGGGCAGCTGCTCAGCTTCTCGGCCTTCGGCGTCCTCATCTGTGAGACCCAACTGATGGAAGCCCCTCCAAGCCCCCCGGCCACAGCCTCCGGGTCCTGACTGTCTCCAGCTGCCGTCCAGCTCCCGCCCTGTTTCCCTGCTCCCCTCTACAGCAGAACGCCTCACGAGTGCTGCCTTCGTGGCCTCCAATGCCTCTCTCCTCCCACCCTCTGTGACCCCCAGCGAAACTGCTCTGATCAAGGTCACCAATGACATGCATGTTGCTAAATCCATAGCCAATTTCCAGTCTTCTTCAAACCTGACCAATCATCAGCGTGACATGCTTGTCCATCCCGTCTTCCTCCAAACTTTCTGATTTGGTTTCCAGGACTTTGCTGGCTGCCCCTGCAGCAGCTCATCACTGCCTGCCCTGAGACACCAGCAACACCTTCCCCATGGGCACTCGCTGGGGAGCACGGCCCCCACAGCCCCGCTGGCCTCTAGGCCACACGGCCCACTGCTCTGGACATGCAAGAGGTGTCCCCACCTTACGTCTGTGTCTCCCACAGCCCATCAGACCCCCCAGCACACCTCCCCGAACTGGTATCCTCCCACCAACATCGCACCGCAAAACACCACCACTTCTTGCCCGCACCAGTCAAACCCTCCTCACGCAACGCCCCCACTCCCCTCTGCTCCACTGTAGTCTGTCCCTGGATTAACTGTAGGCGATGTCATCCCTACGCTCAGAACTCACTAACATGCCCTAGAAGGCCTTGCACCACCTGGTACCCCACCGATTTACCTCCCTGACCTCTTCCTCCAACCGCTTCCTTCCGGCTCACCTGGTCCGGCTCTCCCGGCCTCCCTGTTTCCTGCACTTGCTCGCAGACTTTGCACACTCTGTTCCTCCTACGAACACTCTCCCTCAAACCTCCACCCCTTCCCCGGCCACTCCATCGACAACTTCAGTCGCCCTTCCCCACTACTCCCTGCACCCCCCACCCCACAAATACCATCAGTTCACATCCTACACGTCTCTCTTTTGTCTTTCAATTACCCGCCCCTGAAGCTATCTGAGAACAAAGACTCTTTGCCTGTTTACTATTTCTCCAGCACCTAGAATCATCCCTGGCACAGGGACAAGGCACAGTCACTCCCCCAAGTTCACGTGTTTATCTGTCCAGGCACACTGTCTTCTTCAATCGTCTTGCTTCTCTTCAAACCCGCTCCCTAAGCCCAAACCACGTCTTTTCCATGGCTCATTCCTCATTCGATTCAAGTCTTGTTCAAATACAACTTCCTTAGCGAGGTGTTCCCATACCACGCTGTCTCCAAGATCACTTTTCCCAACAGCTGTAACCCTCTGTCTGATGTACTGTCCTGCCAGCTTTCCCTGCAATGACACCTATGTCTGCCTGGTAATCGTCCGTCTCTCCCATGAGAGAGGGCCACCATGAGACAGGGCTGCGGCTTATCCATCACTGTTCCTCCAGCATGGAGACAGTGCCTGGCCCACGTCAGCCTTCCAACTATGAATTAAGGAACTTAGAAGACACAGTCATCACGGACATACACGGAGAATACCACATCATGAGTAGTTTCCCTCCGAGTTGACACGGTAACCCACTAAGCTACCCTGAGTGACCGAGATCAGCCAAGCTCCTGCCCACACCCCGCCCCCTCCAGCCACAGAGCCCCACCTGGGGCAGCCCCAGGCCCTCCTGCCCGTAAGAGCCTCAAAAGGCCCCGAAAGGAGGAGATGTGGTAAAGTCTAAGTACAGAGAAACTGTATGAGGCTACTTTTCTCAAGTCTCTCTTCCAAAGAGTGGAAGAGACAGGGAGGAGGAAGACGGATTCCTGAGGGGCTGATAGGCCTACAAACACTACAGCTGGTGTTTTGGGGCAAACGCAGGGGCGCCGTACCGTATTTGACATCCGGAACTGTGACGGAGCTCTCTGCGATGTTGGTGGACAGGATAATCTATCAAACATCAAAAACAAAGCATCTGACATTCCTACTGTCTACGGGAAACATTAGGCAAAGAAAAAAAAAAGCTCAAAAATTATTTAAAAGCTTTTTAACGTAAACACTGGACTCCAGTTTTAAAATTAATAGTTTTTCTATTTTCAACAAGCTACACTGCTCAAGGGGCCAGGAGAAGGGTGGAGGGACTTGGAGCAGGGCGACCCCAGCTCTGCCCTACACCGGGCTGCGCCGCTGGGCCAGCTGCTGACCTTGTGGTTCCCAGACACCCTGAGCACGGAACGAGGACGCCCGCCCCAACAGGGCTGTTGTGACCATCACAGGAGTTATCAAGGGCAAAGTGCTTAGAACTGTTGCTGGCTCAAACCGTGATCAACAAACAGATCCACCTCCTCATACGGCTCGCACCCGGGCACTGAGCCGCTACAGGGGTCAGTCTGGACACACACTCCTACAATTCACCATCTGAACGCTCCGGCATTCAACCAATTAAAGTCTCAGAGAGGCGATCTGCTCACAGTCCCATGACGACAGGTGACAGGGCCCTGGCTCTGTCCAGCTCTCTGTCCACATCCACACACACCACCCCTCTCCCCGATGTGATCCCGCACGCACAAAGCCCAGCACCACAGCAGTGCTTTAGAACAACAGGCAAGAAGCCAGGCAAAGACAGCTGTCCCATACCTGAGACATGGGACTGCAGGGGTGCCGGGACTGCCCCGAGGCAAAAAGCACAACCAAGCTGACACACAGACGCAGGGCTGGGCCTGTGACCGCACTGGGATGCCAGGCCAGGTCCCAGCTACCCCGAGTCAGGACACCTATACTGGACACAAGGGGGCTGTTCACAGTGCACGCGACGTTCCTGACCATCTCGGGATGGTCTAAGCACATCTCGGGATGTGCTAAGACACTGCCATGGTGCACACGTTAACCGGAGAGTAAAGAAATCTTCTTTAACCAGGACTGAGAATGTGGGTCCTAACCCAAGTCGCCAGAGCAGTCCCACAGCTTGAGAAAGACCAGCAAGTAAAAGGCATCAAAATCCACCAGCAACAATGCCCAAAAGTTGAGGAAACTTAAAAACGTCAGCAACCGACTTACAAAATGAAAGACAAAATTAAACAACATACCTGGCTCATAGGGCACTTAGCTGCTTAGCGGGTAACCACCAGCGACAGAACACAGGGTACAAGTCAGCGGGGATGTGAGCGCTCGCCGCTGGCAGAGTCTCTAAGGAAAATGTACCTGAAGTGCTTGCAACTTGCCTCCCGGTTCCTACCTTTCTGTACCCAGGAACTGGGCTTAAAAACACATTATTCTGTTCTTCTAGAGTCACACTTGAATGGAGTGGGTAAACCTGTAACCTGGGGAACAGATTAATGAGATAAAATGTCCATGAAGAGTAGATGCATGTGAGAACACACCAAAATGACTGACTTCACGGAGACGACCAGAATTATTTAAGGCAGAAACGATACAATAGCTTATCGCTAAAAACAAAGCTGCATCGTGTGAAACCCACCTTTTGTGAACCATGTTTGTGAGAAGTTCGTGCATATAGTTGATTTCACCCAGGCCTGGGAAGAAAGGCAAGTGGAGGGGGAGAACGTGTATTTATTACAAAATACCAAAAAACAAAAACGACAACAACAAAAACCTTTAAATTAATATGACATCTTTTGTAAAAAAGGCCCAACCGATTCATTGTATTTGACTTTTTTACCCTCTTTGCCCAGCGACATCACAATTATAGATAAAACTGTACAATGACATTGACCACTAGTAACTCAAAAATACGGGGAAAACCCCACATTCTTCCAGTGTTTCGCTTTCCGCAACAGGGCCTGCAAGTCTGGCCATCTGAACAATTTTACATGTCTTTTTTATTCCCCACTGACTTTTCCAAATTTCCTATGATAAACATGCAACATTTTACAATCAAAAAAAAAAAAAACAGTTTTTTAAAAAGTCTTGGTCCCAGAGATATGCTAAATTATTTTCATTATGTTTAAGTGACGTCTATAAACCGGGGCACCTGGGTGGCTCAGTTAAGCGTCTGCCTTTGGCTCGGGTCATGATCCCAGGGTCCTGGTATCGAACCCCGTGTCACGCTCCCTGCTCATTGGGAGGCCTGCTTCTCCCTCTCCCACTCCCCCTGCTTCTGTTCCCTCTCTCGCTTTGTCTCTGTCAAATAAATGAATAAAATCTTTAAAAAAAAAAGAGAGAGAGAAAGAAAGAAAGAAATGTCTATTGATAATGTAAAACTTTCACATGCTTTTCTGTCATCCCGAATTATCAACTCTAGAATGGGTTGAACTGTGTCCCCCCCAGAGACGTTCAAGTCCCAGCCCCAGTACCTGAGAACATGGTTTTATTTTCAAACAGTCTCACTGCAGACATAATGAGCTAAGGTGAGATCATACTGCAGAAGACAGGCACTCACTCCAGTATGACTAGTGTTCCCTTCAGAGGGAGGGAGAGAGACAGGCACAGAGCGTGTGCGCCATGCTAACAAGGGAGGCAGGGACAGGAGGGACGCCAGGAAGGGATGGAAGTTGGCCACCAGAAGCTGGCAGAGGCAAGGGGGGGCTGTACCCAGAGCCCCAGAGGGAGCAGGGCCCTGCCAAAAGCCTGATTTTGGACTCCTCATCTCCAGAACAGTAAGAGAATAATTTTGTAGTTTGAAGACATACAGTTTGTAGCCCTTTGTCACAGCAGCCCTACAGAATGAGTACAGAACCATTCCAGAAAGATCGTAATGAAATAAACATATTCTAAACCTGCATTCACATAAACACAGGACAGCCAAGTGAACTGTGAAAGAGCATTTGTTAACATTTTACATTTTCTGCAGACAATGTTTAGTGCTTACAAGGGATTCACCTCACTCTGAGGTATCCTTAGGCTCAAACCACCATGGCTCTGCTCTGGTCGGTCTCCCCTGACCGCTGTTAACACGCGCAGCAGGCTGCGACAAACGCTTACTGGGGTGAACACAAGTCCACCCCACGGTCAGCCAGTGGCTGCTTCCTGGGGACAAAACTAATCCAGATCAACTAAGCAAGACAGGACCCAAGCTGTAAGCTCAAATGCTGTACTGCAAAATTAAGAGTTAGTTACTTTTATTCAGGTTTTTGTTCTCCAAATCTACCAGCACAAATACTCGTATGCTATTACCTTGGGCAACAAAAAAAAGTGAATTATTGTCATGTTTCACCAAACGATACCACTTAATTAAGAAAAATCAAAAACATCATTTTGGGGTGCCTGGGTGGCTCAGTCAGTTAAGCAACAGCCTTCGGCTCAGGTCATGATCCCAGAGTCCCCGGATCGAGTCCCACATCGGGACTGCAGCTCCATGGAGGTTCTGCCTCTCCCACAGAACTTCTCCCCTCTCATGCTCTCTCTCTCTCTCCCTCTTAAATAAATAAAATCTTTATTAAAAAATTTTTAAAAACGTCATTTTGAAAAAGTGCAATTTAACATAAATTAATCTTTTCAGATATCTGAGGGCCAGTTTTCTCAAATACCAAGAACGGGACAGAAGGACCCTCCCGAGGACTCCCGTGGTGTCTAGTAACCAACCGCGCTCTCGCTAAGACATCTTCGGGCGCACACCGATCGCCCCTGTACCTCGCACTTGTACATGAAACAGCTGGTTTAAGAAAGCCAATCGCTTCACTGGAAATTGTGAAGGGGGCAAGACCGCCTTCAAAAACCCAAACTCTTCGTGACCAACTGCTTTAGCAACACGAAGGCTGCAGTGAGAGCTCAAACCGCGAGTCGCAGTTGTTTGGGTTCCCGGGGTCCAGGAACCACTAAACTCACACGGCGGGTACCACGCTTCACCGTACAGGCTGGGCGCGCGCAGCCTCCATCCAGGACACGGTACCTCCAGGCCGCAGGTGTGGCGCTCACCTGGCAAGAACACCAGCACGCTGCTCCGCTCCAGCACAAACTGGGCCCCCGACCAGCTCTTGCTCCTGTTGCGAACGGGAAGGCACAAACGTTACTCCCGGGAGCACAGCCACTGCTGGCCCGAGCCCCAGCGGGCCAGGCTCTGATCACGAAAATCTCTTACAGACCGTTGCTGTAATGTTCCTTTTCGCATATAAGAAATCACAGAGGCCCCAGGACATGGCCCCACAATCACTAGGGGCCCTAAGGCCCTCAGCTCCCAGTTTTCTCCTATAAAGACTCATTATCTGCCAGAGTTTCCCTTGAAATTTAGCGACTGTAATCCAGATTCTCAAAATACAAAATTTTAAAAACAACTACAAGTAAAACTTAAACTCAAACCACCAGCTCGCCTTCCTGCTCCCATCAAAATACTTCATGTGAAATCAGAACTTCCGTTCTCTGCGCCGTGAGCTCTCCTCTGCAGGCAGGTAAAGTGGTAACAAGACAGATAAGGTCCCTGCTCTTTGGAGCTCACATTCTAGCTGGAGAGACAGACCAGAGACAGGCGAGCACATCAGGTGCCTTGGGCTGAGCGGGCAGACGGCCAGCAGGAAGAGATGGGAGCCAGAGCCGATGCGTCACAGTCCCCAGCCCACCCGCACGCGCCTTCTCCTCCTCCGCAGGTATCATTCCCAGGCACGGCCGGGACTGTTGTTGCTTGGCTCCTCCAAGAGATGACAAAGACCGGGGCGCTGGGGGGGCTCAGTGGGTTAAGCCTCTGTCTTCAGCTCGGGTCATGATCTCGGGGTCCTCGGGTGGAGCCCCGCATCGGGCTCTCTGCTCAGCGGGGAGCCTGCTTCCCCCGCCCTCTCTGCCTGCCTCTCTGCCTACTTGTGATCTGTCAAATAAGTAAATAAAATCTTAAAAAAAAAAATGATAAAGACTAGAGTGAAAACTAATAAAATAGAGAAGTAAAACAACAGAGAAAAATCAACAAGAGCCAAACCTGGGTCTCTGAAAAAAAAAAAATAAAATGGACAAATCTTTACCTAGTTTGACCAAGAGAAAAAGAGAGAAGATTCAAAATACCAGATAGAATCAGAAATGAAAGAGAGGGCATTCCTACTGACTTTACGGAAATGAGAAAGATTACATACAGGAACACTATGGACAGCTGTACACCCACCACGTACACGGTTGACATGAAATGGACACAAACTACTAAAACTGACCCAAGGAAGGAATGATCTGAAGAGATGCACAACCGAAGAAGAGAGATTTCGTTCAAGACCCCCATAAAGAAAGCCCAGAGCTGAATTCTACCAAACACTCAAAGAACTGATAACAATTCTTCACAAACTTCCAAAAAACAAAACATTTCCCAACTTATTTTATGAGGCCAGTATTACTCAGACACCAAAACCAGGGATATCACAAGAAAATCATTGTATTCTGAAGATTTCTTATAAATACGAATGCAGAAATCCTCAGCAAAAACTAGCCAACCAAGTCAAGAAGCAGCACATGGAATGAATTATACACCATGACCAAGTGGCATTTATCGGAAGAAAGCAAAGTTGATTTAACGTCTAAAAATCAATTAATACAATACATTATGTCAACAGAAGAAAAAAATTCACATCGTTATCTCAACAGACACAGTAAAAGCATTGAACAAAATCTAATACTCTTTCATTAAAAGTTTAAAAAAAATCAAGCTAGAAATTAAAAAGTCCCCAAACTGGAACCAGAAGTGAGCTCCCTCAGCCTGGTAACGGTCGCCCACAAGAGCGCAGAGCAAACCCTGCACTTCACGGAGAGAAACGGGATGTCTTCCCCCTCAGATCAGGACCGGGGATGTCTGCTCCCCCACTTCTACTGAGCACTACACGCTGGACGTTCTAGGACTTCAGGCAAAAGGAAGAAATCCAGGTTGGAAAAGAAGAAATAAGACTATCTCTGTTCATAAGTGACATGCGCTTGTGTACAGAAGACACCAAGAAACCCTGTGAGCCCTGGGAGAGGACTTCAGCAGGTTGCAGGACGGAAGAGCAATAGACAAAACTCTGCTGTCGTTTCTAGACCCTTGCAATGAACTATCCAGAAATGAAAGGACGGAAAATAATTTCATTTTGACAACATCAAAAAGAATAAAACACAGGAAGAAGTTGAACAAGATAACTGCAAAACCTACACTTTGAAAATTGCTAAGTTACTGAACTAAGCTAAATTACTAAGTTAAAAAAATTATTTTCAAGGGCACCTGGGTGGCTCAGTGGGTTAAGCGTGTGCCTTCAACTCAGTTCATGATCCCAGGGTCCTGGGATCGAGTCCCACATCAGGCTCCCTGCTCAGTGGGGAGCCTGCTTCCCCCTCTACCCCTCCTGCCCCAGCTCGTGATCTCTCTCTCTCTCTCACACACACACACACACACACTCACTCTCTCTCTCTCTCTCTCTCAAATAAAATCTTTTTTAAAAAATGATTTTCAAAAATCCAAAGAAACAGAAAAACATCCCATACTGGAAGACTTAACATGGTAATAGTTAAGATGGTAATACTCCCCCCAAACTGACCTATAGACTCTATACAATCTCCTTCACAGTCCTGCCTTCTCTGGAGAAACGGAGAGGCTGATTCTAAAATTCACACGGAATTATAAGAGACTCAGTACAGCCACAGCAATCCTCAATAAGAAAAAGTTAGGAAGACCCGTACTCCTAATTTCAAAGTTACTTCAAAGCATTGGTAATCAAGATAGTGTAGTACTAGCCCAAGGACAGATATATAGATCAACAAAATAGAATTTAGAGTCTAGAAATCAACCCATACGTCTATGGGCAACTCATTTCCAACAAGGAAGCCAACGCCGTGCAACGGGGAAAGAGGAGTTTTGTAAACAGCAGTGCTGGGACAAACGGACAGAACACATGCTAGAGAACGAAGCTGGACTCTCACCTCACACCACGTGAAAATTAACTCAACGACCTCAGACCCAAACAAAGGATCCAAAACTATAAAGCTCTCAGGAGAAAACACGGGGATAAATCTTCCTCAGCCTGAACTTGGCAACGGATCCTTAGCTACGTCACCAGAAGTATGAGCAACAAAAGAAAACGTAGACAAATCAGACTTTACCAAAATTAAAAATTTTTTGTGCTTCAAAAGACACCAGCAAGGAAATAAAAACACAATCTACAGAGTGTGTGAAAATATTTGCAAATCATGAATCTGGTAAAGGGCTTGTACTGGCATATATAAAGATCTCTTACAATTCAACAATAAAAGGATAATCCAATAAAAGATGGACAAAGAACTTATGTCTCTATAAATACGTATATCTTTAAAGAGGATATACACATGGCCAATAAGCTCATAAAAAGGATGTGCAACATCAGCAGTCATTAGGGAAATGTAAATCGAAACCACGTTGTGACACCACCACACACCCACTAGGAAGGCTTCAAGCAAAGGTCAGACCTCGACCAGGAGAGGTCAGGATATGGAGAATCGGGCCCCTCCCAAGGTGCTGGCGGAAATGGAAACTGATACGGATGCTCTGGAAACCAGTCTGGCACTTCGTCAAATGGTCACACAGTGACCATATGACCCAGCAATTCCACTTGTGGGTGCAGATGCGCAAGAAGAGTGAGCGTGCGTCCACACAGGTCCCTGCGCATGGCTTTCACAGCAGCATCATTCACAAGAGCCAGAGGAGAAAGCCAACCCAACTCGCCATCCGCACACATGTGGCTGAACAAACTGTGGGGTACAGACCCCCCGCCATGGAGTATTACACGTCCGTAAAAAGGAGTAAAACACTGATGTGTGCTACAACATGGACGAACCTTGAAAACTTAGACTCAGGGGCGCCTGGGTGGCTCAGTGGGTTAAAGCCTCTGCCTTCAGCTCAGGTCATGATCTCAGAGTTCTGGGATCGAGCCCCACATCGGGCTCTCTGCTCAGCAGGGAGCCTGCTTCCTCCTCTATCTCTCTGCCTGCTTCTCTGCCTACTTGTGGTTTCTGTCAAATAAATAAATAAAATCTTTAAAAAAAAAAAAAAAAAAAACTTAGACTCAGTGAAGAAGTCAGCCACCCAAGACCAGACTCCACTCACACGAAGGTCAAGAACAGGGAAACCCACAGAGATAGGAAGTTGACTAGTGGTGAGCTGGGGGGGAAGGGGAAGGATGAGGAAAGAGAGCAAAGGGTCATGGTTTCGTTCTGAGATGATGCAAACGTTCCAGAACGGACTATGGTGTGGGGCGCCCAGGCGGCTCCGTCAGCCGAGTGTCCGGCTCTGCGTTTGGATCCAGGTCGTGAACCTGCAGTCTCGAGCCCGAGCCCCTCGTCGGGCTCTGCACTCAGGGAAGACATGCTTCAGAGTCTCTCTCCCTCTGCTCCTTTCCCCTGCCTGAGGGCTCTCAAATAAATAATACATACATACATAAATTTTTTAAAAGAATGGAAATAAAGAGATTGCAAAGGTTTTAGAGGCAAAAATAAAAAGCAGGGGTTGTGATCTTAAAACACGACAGAGTAAAATTGAGCCCCCAGCATTAAGCAAGACCAAGAAGGGGACAATATAATGCCAAAGGTCAGAATTCACAGCAGCACTGACGGAACCAACAGCCGCAAGCCCAGAAAATAGGGAGCAGCCAAAATCCAGAGCTCGGGCAAAACCGGATGCCGGTGAGGATGTGCAGCAACAGGGCCTCCCATGCTTTTGCTGTGGGGAAGGTGGAATGGAACAGCCGCTCTGGAAGACGTTCAAGGTTTGTTTTGTTTTGCCTGAGATTTCGTTTATTTGAGAGCACGCACAAGCAGGGGGCGGGGCAAAAGGAGAGGGAGAAGCAAGCTTCCCGCTGAGCAGGGAGTCCCACTTGGGCTCAATCGTAAGACCCCGGGATCATGACCTGAGCTGAAGGCAGACATTTCACCCACTGAGCCACCCCGGCGCCCCGCCTGGGTGACTCTGTACAAACCAGACAACTCACATGGCACGATCCAACAATCGTGCTCCCTGGTGCTTACCCAGAGGAAGTGAAAACATACATCCCCACACACTCTGCACACAGACATTTACAACAGCTTTACTCAAACTGCCCAAACTTGGAAACGACCAAGATGTCCTTTAGTAGGTGAACGGAGAAATAAACCGTGGTCCATCCTGATGAAGGAAGGCTGCTCAGCGCTAACAAGGAGCCATCGAGCCATAAAAAGACACGGAGGAAAGGTCAGTGCCGCCAGGGGAACAAAGGCGACCTCAAAAGACTGCATATGTATGATTTCCAACTACAGGACATCCTGAAAAAGGCAGAACCACGGTGATGTTAAGAAGGTTGTCATGGACAAGAAAAAAAAAAAAGGTCGTCCTGGGTTACAGGGGCGAGTGGGACGACAGGCAGGGCTCAGGCGATCTCAGGGCAGTGAGCCATTCTGCATGGGACAATGCTGGCCAGGCGTCGTCATACGCTTGTCAAAACCCACGAAACGGGCAACACTAGCAGTGAGCCCTAAAGCAAACCAGGGCCTGCGGGCGACAATGGTGTGTCCGTTAACACAGAGGTGCAGCCGCAGTGCAAGGTGCGGACGGCGTGGGGCCGGAGGAGAGCACAGACATGGGAACTCTGTGTGATTTTCTCCCCAATATTGCTGGAACCTACAACTACTCTAAAAAATAAAGTCTACTTAAAAGGGAAAAAAAAACAATCCATAAGTCCATTGTGACATTAAAAGAGAGCGAGAGGAGGCGGGTAATGAAAGGGGAATTCCTCTTTACAGAATAACCCCAGGGAGTAAGAACAAACGACTACATGGGGCCACTAGCCACGCAGCAGGGCCATCGGGACCGCCCACACCGCTGGATGAGAGGCGGCCAGGCAGCATCAGAAACACTGATGTCCGCACTCCTCGAGCCTGCCAAATCTCAGGCAAGATCAACGATGAGTAACCCCCACCTGCTCACGTTAGTCACGCCAGTGGTCCCCCAAGACTAATGGGGTCGCTGAAAGTCAGCTGGAGCCAAACGGCAGAGATTCCTAAAAGGAGGGATCAGACCATAAAGCTGACTTCTCGCTGCAGTGACAGACTCTGCAGAGACATCATCAAAATGCAGGAGGAAAAATAAAAATGTTGCATCTCATGCAAATTACATCTCACTAAAGTTACTTAAATGAAAAAAATAGAAAAAGCAGAAACAGGGAAGGAACCACCTACACTCTACAACCACACAAAACTATGTCAAGAGAAAAAGTGAAATAAAGACATTTTCAGCAAAATAAAAACTGAGAACATCTAACAAGAGACTCTTTAAAAAGCTTTTGAAGGATGTGCTTTAGGAAGAATGAAAACGATCTTCGGAAAGTCTGAGAAGCAAGACAGAGTGACGAGTAAATACACTGATAGACACTGAGTCACTGCAAACACAGATGATACAGAAATAACAACTGGTGGGAGCGCAGAAACGCAGCGAAAATACCACACGGCCACACGCAGGCTGGAGGGGTCGGAGCCTGGATTCCGGCCGACTCACCAGTCAGACCTTGAGTAACTCTACACCGCAGGTGTTCACACCGGGCAACTAACGATCACAGGAGAGACGCGGGAGCGATGGCGGGGTGTCAGGCCAAAAGGACCCACAGCTACCCACATTCACTCTCTGGTTGTCGTGACGAGGGGACTCTACGTCCTCCATGTCTGCTGTTCCAACAGATGAATTCTGTTTATGAACTGTAGTAAAATGAGCGCAGAAAGGCTCATAAAACAGTTCATGTTTTCAATCGCAGGCTCTACCCACCCCTTACAACCTGCCGCTCTTCCTAAGGGAAACTGTGTTCCAGGTTTGAAAGGCCCAGCTCCGCGCAAGAGCGGAAGAATGGACGACAAGGAGCCCACTGTCGGGGGCCTATGTTCCCAACAAACACGAACCCCGGCAGAGAAAGGCTCTCAACGGCTTCTCCCAGCCTGGTCCCTTCCATTTTGCCTCAGACTAGGAGTCATAGGACTCAGCACGTCTGGAAACCACTCTCTCCTCAGGCTGTGGTTCTTGGCTTTTAAAACTGTCCGTCTTAAAACTGTACTTGGTTTTAACTACTTTAAGTGGAAATTTCCAGTAAAAACAAGCGCAATGTACTAACATTATTTTAAAATACACACAGCAGCTACTGGGAAGAGTTATCTACATCCTCTCACCGTTGTAACAACACTAGCGGCCATCTAAACGAATCACTGCATTTTTACAGATCCTACTTCGAGCACATGCCACGTCCAGTGGGTCTTACCCTCTCTCTTTCATGTCCAAGTTATCGAACATCTGGATCAGGGAGACAGCGACTTCGTAGATGTCCTTAGTGATCACCGGCTCCTCCAGGACACGAGGAGGAAGCTAAACACAGAAAAGGGAAAGGCTGAAATAGCAGAGCAGGGCTGCAAGGGGACCTGGGGGCCGCAAGGGCGACTCTCTTTAGTCTAGCAGTGACACGGGAACGAATACCCCAGGGAAAAGAACATCCTGCAGCCAGGATGTGACACTGCTGGCGTCGGGCTCTCCTCAAGGCTCCCACAGCCTCAGTACCTGCTAGGACGTCCCTGACCTTGGCCCTGGAGCAAGGATGGAGTCAGGGCCAAACACACAAAGCTGACATGTCTGTCGGGAAGGCCGGTGTGCAGACGGAGCAAGCCGCTCTAAGCGTGCAGGGAACCCAGAGTTTCTGATCCCGGCAGCAGCGCTCGCCCCCGTCAACAAGCCCGAGCTGCCAACACCATCCCAATCACAAGGACCAGGGACAGGTAAGAGCCCACACACCTCTGCCAACTGACGGTCAGAATATAACCACGCCATCCAGCTGCCAAAGGTCAGAGGGTCACTGACTACTTTTATGTTTTGTTTTAATTTAGGTTCAATTAATTAACGTACACTGTTACCGATTTCAGAGGTAGCATTTAGTGATTCATCGGTCTTCTAGAACACCCAGTGCTCATTACATCACGTGCCCTCCTTAATACCCATCACCCTGTTACCCTCTCCCCCCCCCCCCCACCTCCCCTCCAGCAACCCTCAGTTTGTTTCCTCTGATTAAGAGTCTCTTATGAGGGCGCCTGGGTGGCTCAGTAGGTTAAGCCTCCACCTTCGGCTCAGGTCATGATCCCAGGGAACTGGGATTGAGCCCCCCATCAGGCTCCCTGCTCAGTAGGGAGCCTGCTCCCCACCCCCGCTCTCTGCCTATCTCCCTACTTGTGATCTCTGTCAAATAAATAAATACAGTATTTTTTAAAAAATAAAAAGGAGTCTCTTATGGTAGGTCTCCCTCTCTGATTTCATCTTATTTTCCCTCTCTTACCCATGATCCTGTTTTGTTTCTTAAATTCTGCATGTCAGAGAAATCCTAAAACTGTCTTCTCTGACTACTTCACTCGGCATAACACCCTCTAGTTCCACCCACATTGACAGAAACGGTAAGGAGTCCTTCTGACTGCTGAGCAGCAGTCCACTGCGTAAATACACCACAATCTTCTTTACCCATTCACCTACAGCAGGGCATCTCGGCTCTTTCCATACTGTGTATTAAAACAAACCCCAAGTGAGCCCACCTAATTGAAAACCACCCTCCAGGCACCTCCGCACAATGCTGGGCTCAGCCACAGCTGCAAACCCCCCAGAGGAGCGGGCCCCGCGGGCCTGAGCCGTGGGCTTCGTGGGGCCGAGGCCGCCACTACAGAAGAGTCTCTCTACAACGGCCGACACGGCAGCGTCGCACAGAATCAACCCGTAGCCGCACTGGGATTCCTGCACCGGGAGTGAGAAGGCTTCTTAATTTAACCATTGTACTTATCAAGTGCTATGTTCAAGGTGTTGTATCTGACTTTGTGGAGGACACTTTGTGGAGGACACATCAGAAGTCTCCTTAGCCACAACTGCAAACTTTCTTCCCCAATTTTTAGAGTAAATTAAGTCAAATAGCAATAAACCACTTTTCATTATTACAATCCTATTAATGTAAGTATGACAAAGTTTTATTTAATCAGTAATTGTGAAGAAGCGTGCCTAATAAATCCGTTCTTGTCCAACCTTTACCTGAAATTTTCTACTTTATCCAAACAATAACTGTAACAAAATTGTACAAAACAGAAATAGAAAAAAGTACAATTTTCATAAATTCCAACGTGGCATTCAGATCCATCTAGAACGGTTTTCCTACACACAAACCACAGCAAAGATGTGCCGTCAAAAGTATTCGCAGAGTTCTAGAAGCCAAGCCCAAAAAGCGCTGCTTACACTCCACGCTAAGATACCAAACAGCCACACGTTCTCCAAGCTGGCTTCCCACAGGCCACAAAGGAAATACAAGTAGGCAGGTCAGGGCCGACCTATCCACGGTGGAATCCGGCCCCCTCCACGCGCAGGAGTCAGAGGCACACGACAGCCAAGGCCGCCGCTTTCCTGGACGGCACCGTGCGGCAGTCAGACTGCCGGGCAGCTGGTCAGACGGGAAGCTCTGGCAAAGGCCACGTGGGGGAACAGGGACAGAAATGTGGAGGAAAGCCCTTTGATTCCCGCAGGTGGAACTGGGGACACTCGTTCCTCCCCGGCGGAGGACCCTGTCAACAGAAGGAGTCAGAGCCCGTGCTGCTGCCCCACCCGTCTGCCGCCACCGCGCAGGCCGGCCGTGCCCGGGCAGTCAGCTCGTCCCAGGAGGCGGGCGGGAGGCGGGCGAGGATGGGCCTGCGGGTGGTAGGGACCAATGGCCAAGGCAGCCAGGAGCCCAGACGGAGCAAGAAGCGCATTTCCACCTGCCTCCCCGCAGCCCCGCCAGCCCCTCCCACGATCACGGCAGCCCGGGGACCAGGAGGCCCGGCCACGGGACGCAGGCCGGAGCAGCGTGGTTCCAAACCCCACGCGGGGAGCTGCGGGCCGGGCCGCGCTCTGCAGGTCACGGAGGCCCCGCCACAGCCTCACCAGAGTGCGCAACTACCTTTTCTGTACTCTGCCAAGGGTGGGGAGGGTTCGCTAAAAAAAACAAACAAAAACAGTTGAAAACAAATAATAAAAAGGACTCGAGCGTCGTTGAAGAGGCAAGTCAGAGTCGACAACAGGAGGACCAGAAGGGCACCGCTGGCCTCGGGGGAGGGATGGCTTCCAAGAAAGTCAACGTGGCCAACCGTGCTGTTACAGTTCAGGGCTGCGGGCTCCTGACTTAACGAAGGTCCCTATTGGTTCTGGCAGATGCCACCTCAGACCAGGGGCCCTGGGGGCCAGACCACAATGAACGTGAGCCAGAGAAAACCCTGACGCTTTGACAAAGTTTGGCAGAAGCTGTGAGAAACATGGGACTAAAGAGGGAACTTTTTAAGATGAAAGACACTTAGTTCTGTTGAAACGAGGACAAGATGATCCCAGCTTTGTAACACAGCTTGAGGTGGGGTTGGGGTGCCACCCGCTTTTTCTTTTTCAACATTCCTCTGGCTATTTGGGATCTCTTCCGGTTCCATACAATGTTAGGATTATTTGCTCCAGCTCTGTGGAAAAAGCCGATGGTATTTTGACAGGAACTGTACTGAATTTGTGTAGTCTGCCCTAGGTAGCATCGACACTTTAACGATATTTGTTCTTCCAACCCATGAGCATGGAACGTTCTTCCATTTGTGTCTTCCTCAATTTCCTTCACGAGTGTTCTACAGTTTCCTGAGTACAGATCCTTGCCTCTTCGGTCAGGTTTATTCCCAGGTCTCTAATGGTTCTGGATGCCACTGTAAATGGGATCGACTCCCTCGCTTCTCTACCTTCTCTATCGTTGTTGGTGCACAGAAATGCAACAGATTCTGTGCATTGATTTTCTATCTTGCCACTTTGCTCAATTCCTGTAGGAGTTACAATACTGGGGTGGGAGTCTTTTGGGTTTTCCACAGAGTATCATGTCATCTGCAAAGAGTGACAGTCTGACTTCTTTGCCAATTCGGACACCTTCTATTTCTTTTTGTTGTCTGATTTCTGCAGCTGGGACCTCCAGCACTATTAGAACAAACGGTGGTGAGAGCAGGCATCCCCGTCGTGTCCCCGACCTTAGGGAAGAGCTCGGTTTTTCCCCACTGAGAATGGTATTCACTGTGGGCTTTTCAAACATGACTTTTATGATATTGAGGTATGTTCCCTTTATCCCTACACTGTGAAGAATTATAATCAAGAAAGGATGCTGTGCTTTTGTCAAGTGCTTTTTCTGCATCTACTGAGAGGATCATTAAGGTTCTTGTCCTTTCTTTTATTAATGTATGTGGGTACTGAACCACCCCTGCAGCCCAGGAATAAATCCCACTTGGTCGTGGTGAACCATCCTTCTAATGTATTCTTGGATCCCACTGGCTAGTATCTTGGTGAGAATTTTTGCATCCATATTCATCAAGGATATTGGTCTATTAATTCTTTCTGGTGGGGTCTCTGGTTTGGGGATCAAGGTACTGCTGGCCTCATTTCCCTTCCATTTCTGTTTTTTGAAACAGCTTCAGAAGAATAGGTATTAATTATTCTTTAAATGTTTGATAGAATTCCCCTGGGAAGGCATCTGGCCCAGGGATGTTGTTTTGGGGAGATTTTTGATGACTGCTTCAATTTCCTTGCTGGTTATGGGTCTGTTCAGGTTTTCTATTTCTTCCTGGTTCATTTGTGGTAATTTATATGTCTCTAGGAATGCATCCATTTCTTCCAGATTGTCAGATTTGCACGTGTACAGGTGCTCATAATATCTTCTTACAATTATTTGTATTTCTTTGGTGTTAAGTTGTGATCTCTCCTCTTTCATTCATGAATTTATTTGGGTCCTTTCTCTTTTCTACATCTTTTTAAAGATTTTGCTTATTTGAGAGAGAGACAGAAAGCATGAGACGGGGGACAGTCAGAGGGAGAAAAAGATTCCCCGTGGAGCTGGGAGCCCAGTGCAGGACTCGGTCCCAGGACTCTGGGATCATGACCTGAGCCAAAGGCAGTCAATTAACCAACAGAGCCACCCGGGCACCCTTTCTGTTTTCTTTTTGATAAGTGTGGCCAGGAGTTTATCAATCTTATTAATTCTTTCAAAGAACCAATTCCTAGTTTCATTGCTCTGTTCTGTTCTTTTGGTTTCTATTTCATTGGTTTCTGCTCTGATCTTAATTAATTCCCTTCTCCTGCTGTGTTTAGGCTTTATTTGCTGTTCTAGCCCCAGCTCCTTTAGGTAGAGGGTTAGGCTGTGTATTTGAGATCTTTCTTGCTTCTTAAGAAAGGCTTGTATTGCTATATACTTCCCTCTTACGACTGTCTTTGCTGCATCCCAAAGGTTTTTAAACACTGTGTTCTCATTTCCATGAGCTTTTTCAATTCTTCCATTTCCTGGCTGACCCACTCACTCTTTAGCC